AGGGGGGGTCGGGTTGCGCTTGCCCCGGCCCCGAGGGCCGAGGCACCCCGACCCCCTTAAGGAAGTCTGCGCCACACATATGGGATAAGTGAGCACAGCTGTGCTCACCTAACAGCATTTATTGCAGTCTGGTCAAGCGTGTCACGCTGTATGCAGCGCAGTACGGCGCGTTCCTTTATCCGGTCTGTGACCAGTCACAGACCGGTCAGATCACGGGTTAGGTGGCGACTGGCGGTCTGACGCACGCCTTGCCCCATCCCGTCAAGACGAAAGCCTCTAGGCAACTCGTCTCAAGCCGGAGCTAGCGTGTTATCTCTTAGAGATGGCACGTTAGCCCTGGTTAGATTTATACCAGGCTTCATCCTAACCATTACAGGCAAGGTGTTACACGAAGAAGGGCAAACATGCATCTTGTTAAACTGACACATGGTGGACAAGAATGACCAGTCTGACACTGGTCGCGTCAGCAACGGGCAGCCACGATCCCACGTTGCGCCCGTCTCCGCCGGGAGTGGAGGTAGGTGTGGGCTGTCCCATCGAAGTGTCATTCGGACGGCGACCATACCAATCTCCGTCCATAAAGAGAGGAAAAGTCCAGTTTGGAAAGAAGAGGGTGCATGTGGTATCCCCTTGAAGTATAAAAGGAGGACCTTGCCCATAGAGAAGGGGGATTGATTCTTTCCAGATTTAGAGCTTAGAACGGGGAAGAAGTTGGCTCACACTTTGGAGCTCATTCATACACAAATCCACAAAAACACAGGAGTAGGGTATTACGCTTCGCAGCGGCCCGAACCTGTATACATCACCGTGTCTCGTGTGTCTTGCGGGCAGACGATCTTTCCAGATACAGAGGGAGAGCGAGAGCTTGAGATTTCACCCTAAGCCCCCGGCCGAACTGGCAAAGGGGGGCCTGCGCGGTCTCCCGGTGAGGAGCCACGAGCTCCGTCATCTGGCGCGGTCGTGGAAGAATGGAGACCTGCTGGAGACGCAAGTCAGCCCCTCCGTCATCGGCGGCGCTCGCCCGCGCCGTCGTGGCCCTTAGGGGCTCTCTCCTCTGAGGCCCCGACCCCCATCATAATGGTTAGAATGGAGGCGCGGTCGGGATCGCTGCAGAGGGGGAGGATCTCCTGAGGAATGCGAGACACCTCCGCGGAGCTAAGATTCAGCACCCTTTGGACCACGATCTTGAAGTCCTCGGGAGCCCAATCCCATCTGGCTCCCTGGTGGGTCCGCATGTAGTCTTCAGGCCCAGTGTACTCCCAGGCGCTCCGGGCGCGCCGTTGGAGCGGCGCAATCCGGCGGCGGAGGTAATCGCCGTACACCATGGCCCCGGTGAGCCCCTGGGATCGCAGGCCCGCCAGGCGGTCGAGGACGGCGTCGTAGTCCTCCCCCAGATCTACCGGCGCCCGCCAGCTGGAGACCTGCGCCGGGGGCTGGCTTGGAAGTCGGAGGCGCGCTTCGTTGGCGAGGGGGGTGTAGAACCAGTCGCTCTTCCAGTCGTCCCACTTCTTGCGAAGGACGCAGGGGATGTAGCGGTTCAACACCGGCCCCCGCGGCTGGAAGTAGCAGCCGCCAACCACCGACGGCGGTGACACCGACTGCACGGTGAAGAACCACCGGAACAGCTGAAGAGAGGGGCGCACCCCGATGAACATCTCGCACAGATGCGCGAAGATGGCCAATGTCATCACCGCATTGGGGGTGAGGTGCGCCATCTGGAGGTCATAGAACTCCAGGACATCCATGAAGAAATGAGAAAATGGCGGGACTAGCCCAGCCATCGCGAAGGGGAGGAAGAAGATGGACCGCCCCGGGTAGTCTGGTGCCGGGCGCCCCTCGCCCAGCATCACTATCTCCCGACCGGTGGCGGACTCCGGCATGAAGCGGCGCGGCAGTCCGGCGTGCCTCTCATTCACGATGCGGGAAGGCGGTAGTGCACTGCCGTCGAGCAGAGCAGAGCCCCGTGCCATGGCGGCGGAGGAAGAGATGATTGAGAACGAGCGCGTGTGGCGAAAGTAGGGCGTAGCAGAGAAAGAGTTAGAGCTCAGGTGGCGAAGGCAAGAGGAACAATGGCGAAAGGAAGGAAGCAAATCCTTTTCTCGATGCTTTTATACCCTTGCCATCGCTGGGCCTGACTCCTCGTTTCTCGCGCCCACTACCTCGCTCCCTCGTATCTCGCTATCTCGCTCCCTCGTTTCCCGTGCCCACGCTTCCACTAATCCCATTCGCCCGCTTACGGCGCATTGAGTGGATATGCGGTTGTGGCAATCGAAATGGATTGTATCGTGCGCGCGTTAATTACGCTCGCCGACCGAAGCGGCGTTACCATATCTCCGGGCGAGACGAATCTGCTCACCCAGATTCGCGCGCTGCTCAAGTGGTGTGGCAGTCTTGAATAGACCGCCCATTATGGACAACCAAAGTTACCAATACCAATGTGCATGGATTGAGACCGTTGGGTATTTTGCCCAACTACGGAGACCGGTCCCACCTGTCACAGGGTGGCGTCACACCTGACCGCTTCCCTTGGGAAGGGAAATTGCTCTGGCATAACGCCGGGGGCTACTGTCGGTGATATGGGACCGGGAGTATCATGACTAGAGGCTTAAGGCAGACACAATCGCCCACGTGGCCTGGCACCTTCGGGGACGTCGGGCCCGAGGGTGAGGTGTCCGCCCTCCTCCTGATTTCCCCCGAGGGGGGGTCGGGTTGCGCTTGCCCCGGCCCCGAGGGCCGAGGCACCCCGACCCCCTTAAGGAAGTCTGCGCCACACATATGGGATAAGTGAGCACAGCTGTGCTCACCTAACAGCATTTATTGCAGTCTGGTCAAGCGTGTCACGCTGTATGCAGCGCAGTACGGCGCGTTCCTTTATCCGGTCTGTGACCAGTCACAGACCGGTCAGATCACGGGTTAGGTGGCGACTGGCGGTCTGACGCACGCCTTGCCCCATCCCGTCAAGACGAAAGCCTCTAGGCAACTCGTCTCAAGCCGGAGCTAGCGTGTTATCTCTTAGAGATGGCACGTTAGCCCTGGTTAGATTTATACCAGGCTTCATCCTAACCATTACAGGCAAGGTGTTACACGAAGAAGGGCAAACATGCATCTTGTTAAACTGACACATGGTGGACAAGAATGACCAGTCTGACACTGGTCGCGTCAGCAACGGGCAGCCACGATCCCACGTTGCGCCCGTCTCCGCCGGGAGTGGAGGTAGGTGTGGGCTGTCCCATCGAAGTGTCATTCGGACAGCGACCATACCAATCTCCGTCCATAAAGAGAGGAAAAGTCCAGTTTGGAAAGAAGAGGGTGCATGTGGTATCCCCTTGAAGTATAAAAGGAGGACCTTGCCCATAGAGAAGGGGGATTGATTCTTTCCAGATTTAGAGCTTAGAACGGGGAAGAAGTTGGCTCACACTTTGGAGCTCATTCATACACAAATCCACAAAAACACAGGAGTAGGGTATTACGCTTCGCAGCGGCCCGAACCTGTATACATCACCGTGTCTCGTGTGTCTTGCGGGCAGACGATCTTTCCAGATACAGAGGGAGAGCGAGAGCTTGAGATTTCACCCTAAGCCCCCGGCCGAACTGGCAAAGGGGGGCCTGCGCGGTCTCCCGGTGAGGAGCCACGAGCTCCGTCATGGGTCTTTAGCCACTAAATAATCTGGAAAAAGCTCTTCTAGAGGAGATTATTAGATTATAGTAATCTGGCTTATAGATTATAATAATATAGCATAATAATCTACTTATTTGTTTCAGCTTACTCCTAATAATCCAGATTATAATAATCCTAAGCTGAATCAAACAGAGCCTATATTTACTTTAGCAAAAAACTCGATGCATGCACCATCCCCACTATTTACTAGCCAATAGCAAATCAAGATATTGCATATGGGTTATAAGAGCAGGTACAATAGCAGGCTATAAGCCAGCTATAAACATATTTTAAAGAGATAAATAAAGAGAGAGAAGAGCAGAAGGCTACTGATCTGTAGCCAGCTACAACACGGACTTCAATACGTAATGTGTGTATGACAGGTGGGACCAGGTATTAATAGTATAGTAAGCAACTATTGTATGAATTGGTTATTACATTGGCTATAGATGATTTGGAGCTAGTAGTGGGCTGCACTATTGACCTTGCTCTAAATACTTGTGTGCATGGATGCATGCATCAATGTCCATTTACTCCAATGCACAAATAACGAATAGACTTAATGAATGAACACAAATATGTAGATCATTTAGAAATAATTTGAAAAAAACTATATGTAGATCAATTTGGAATGGAGGGAGTATATAGATCAATTTGAAATGGAGGGAGTACCACATACTCTACCAAATTGTTTTCTTCAGACAAACATGGCATCAAACATGGAAAATAAGACGGTGACTTTCTTTCACCGTGTACCAACTTTCCAATTAATTCTCAGCACAAGCTGTTTCACACTAAATCTCCTGAATGAATGCTGGCTGTTTTGAAGATGCCATGTCGTAATCACAATGAGGAAAGCAGCTAAACACACCACACACTGAAATAGCACTATTTCAGCAAATGTAGCACATGCATCTACACCTACTAGAAAAAGACTGAGCAAACTGTTACTATCTTTCGGCAGTCACCAGCAACACTATGAGGTTGCAGCTCAAGCGGTCAACAACCAGAGTAGCTCAATGCCAGGAATAAAACAACTGGAAAATGCCTAAATTGTTGGAGCTAACAAAGTAACAACAAAATCAAACCACAGAAGACAGCAGGTTATATGGACCATTTATGAAACAAGACAGCAAGTAGGTTTAATACTAGATATGAAGATACTACTTCGTAGTAGAAAGGAACAGAGCATCCAAAAGGAAGTCAGAGTCATTAGGCATCATGATTCATGAACAGACAATCTCTTGTTCCCAGTGAAGATAGCTAGAAAATATAAGGATGAAAAGAGATACAGTTGGACAAGACAACACTATCCATTTGAAGAATTGACGAAGCATGATAGTGAAGCACAAAAATTTCTGAACATTGACCATCAATAGGCTGTAAGTAAATTACATTAGTAGAATACAAACACTGAAATGACTAGAGTTGAAAAGCAACCACATTGGTTGCTACAAACAATCGAAGCTCTAACTATCCCAATTCCCAAATGCTCATTCAAGTAACAAATTCTCTTGCTCATCATTGAATAGGCAAACCAAAGATATATGATATTTGAATTGTAATGTTACATTGTTACCTGAACAATCTGCTATATGTACAAATTAAGCAGCAATTTTGCTATGCCTACAAACAATAATACTCATCATATCTTTCTTGATATTATCTACTACTTACACAAAATCATCAAGCAAAAGGTAGCAAAAAGATGCAGGTGATGATCAATTTCCAAATCATACCACCATTATCATCTAGTAGCAATGGCATCGGGGTGGCCATCTTCCGATCTCCAGCTCGTGATCTGGCTCCTCAGGCTGCGGGTGAAGACAGAGGAGGAGGATCTCCTCCCAGCCCGTGAGGAATAATCTCCTGAATCTGCAGTTGCATCATGATGCCTAAAGCATGCAAACATGTTGCGAAACAAGCGTGGGATGATGCTTCTCTGTCTCTGGGACGAACGACTCCCTCTAGATGACCACCCGATCATCGTCGGCGAGCCCGAGCCGCCGCCGCCGTTGAAGCCGCCATCATCCATCTGGGTGTAGAGAACCGGGAGCTCCCTCTCACCGGCTCTTGTCCCACCAGCAGCAGCAAACCTCCCAACCGCATATCCCCCACCGGGAAGCCTCCAAATGGTGAGAGTACCCACGGTGGTGGCGTCCTCGTCGCTGCTTCCGGCGGCAGCCTGAGCAGCAGCAGCATTGGTCGAGTCGTGGTCATCGGTGGGCATGCGGTGGCGGCAGACGGGGCATGAGTTGTGGAGAGCGAGCCAGGGGAGGATGCAATTGTGGTGGTAGATGTGGGCGCAGGGCATCTCCCTGGCCTCGGCGGCGAGGTGGAAGGGTTCCTTGCAGACGGCGCAGTGGGAGTCGGCGGCGAGGTGGCAGGCCCCGATGAGGATGGTGGGCATGGAGTCGACGGCGGCTTTGGAGGCCGGGGGGTTGGGGTTGTCGGAGGCGGAGGGGATGCGGAGGAGGAGGCGGTCGAAGAGGGGGCGGAGGGCGGAGGAGGCGCCGTCGTCGTAGAGGAGATCGAAGGTGGTGGCGTCGTCGGGGGATGCGGAGCGGCGGAGGACGATGACGGGGGGGTTGAACGGGGAGTGGTCGGCGGCGGGAGGCATCTCGTGGTCGTGAAGGAAGCCGGCGGCGTTGCAGTGGGGACAGAGCACAGCGGCGTCGAGGTGGGGGTGCGGGTGGACGAAGCTGTCGCAGCTGTGGCAACAGTAGGTGTAGGAGGAGGCGTCGTCGTCCATGGCGATGTGGCGGCGACGGGAGCGGAGTGGAGGAGAGAGATGTGAGAGATGTGGCGGCGATATGAGTCTCTCTCTCTCTATCTTTAAAGCGGCGAGGAGGAGAATAGACCGACCAGTCAACTCGACTCGGCTCGGAGGGAGGGAAGAAGCGCGTGCGTGCGTGTTAACACGCTTCTTCTCTTTTCTTGCTCACTTGCTCCCACCGCTGTTTTATTTTCTTTTTTCCTTTTCTTATTGTTTATTTTATTTTTAATAAACAGAGTCACGACGCGCTCGCGAATATTTTCATTTTAGTTCTCTCCATTACGGCTGTTTCTGGCCTTTTTCCTTGGGCTTTCCTTCCTTCCATCCTCGCTGGAAATTAAATATTTACCATTTTTAAAATGTGCCATTTAATAATTTATCACTCATATCTACTTATTATAAAAATTGAATATGTTTTTGCCAATACTTTGATACGCCATCCGTGTATTAGTTAGTTTTTAAGTTCATTTGATTTTGGAAATGCATATTCATGTTTGAGTCGGGTTCTAAGTTTGTCCTTTTTGGAAATATGCAACGAGGCGCGCAAGATATCTCTTTAAAAACTCACATACTAACTTGAGATGATCGGATTCCTAGTTGCAACTCATGATTTTCTATATATATATATCCAAGCAAATTCCTATAGTGAATTTCACCTTAACTAAATCGTATAACAATAATAAAATTAAAATAATCTTCACCAATTGCAACGTACGTGCATTTTTTCTAAGTATTATGTGACATATGTGTCTTCATGTATATATGATATTTGGGTTAAGTGATGCCACATGTAAAAGTGACAGATAGTTAAATATCTCATACTTGTAGCCAGGTGTCGAAAACAAGATTTATTTGTGCTTTTTTTTTCCCTATACCTCTGTTCAATACTCCATCTTTCCATCTTAAGATCACATTTTCCGAACTTGTAAACCGTGCATATTACCTATTATTTTTAAAAAAGTTTATAGGAATTTGCTTTTAAAAATTATATTAATCTACCTTTCAATATTTTTAGCTATTAATTAATTAATTATGTGTTAATGAGTCGCTTTATTTGACATACATCTAGGGGGAGAAATCCCATATTCTCTAGACTAACACAGCTTTAATTGGAAAAAAAAACACATATACTCCATCTTTGAAAGAATGTACTTTTGAACTTAATTTTTGTCTCGCAAATACCATATTTTTAAAAGCTACTAGTGTACATATCGGAGCAAGAAGCTTCTCTAGCGGAAAGACAATATACCCTTTCTTGAGAGTTCAATCATGTTGCAAGTTCCAAGCTCATGGTCGGGCGCGTGAGAAAGAAAGTGAAGACATGTGGCTTATACAGGTTAGGGCCACTGAGAAACATAATACCCTACTCCAATGTTCTTGCGCTATACATAATGATTAAATTTACATTGGAAGAGGATGTACCCTTCTTCACACAGTCAATGGTTACGAATGGTCAAATGTTACGCGAAAAAGTTAATGGTGTGTTATCTAGAGCGGTTGTTAGCGCAGTGGTAGTGTGTTATCTTTTTTTTCAAGGGAAATAGTGTGTTATCTCTTAGGAAGCAAAAGGTTTGAATCCTCCTACCTACGCATGCTTCGGAATCCTGATCAAATCTAATGGTCTAAAATTTAACAAATTTTCTTCAGAATTTCTGTCGAGATGTATCTAGCAAAATGATAAATTAAAAATTTATAATGGACACCAAAATAAAAATGTTGAATAGCATATTACTGGAGGTAGCAAATGTCAACCCTCAAAATGAGGAAAGAGCAAAAAGAGGAAAAGGAGCGCCATATCCACATCCATTACGGATTGCAGTAGCAGCAAGGCAAATTTGCGTTTCTTTCTGTTTTAAGCAAAAAGAGATGGGAGGTGCGTGTGCTCCCCATGTGCGCAACCGCAAAACCCTAGGCCCCCAAACCCCTCGGCGAGATCCCATCCGTCCATCGCCTCATCCGACGGCCCAGACCTCGCCGGCCGTTGTACTTAACGCAGCCGCAATCCACTTCTCTCGTCTCTTCTCTTGTCACAACACAATACTGCAGTGCACTGTAAAAGAAAGGAAAGGGAAGGAAGAAAAAGCTTTTGTTCATCTGCTCCTTTCCCCCCCTCAAATCCCTCCCAAATCCCAACTAATCGCCCGATTTATCAGCCCATTCCTCGCGCAAATCCGCTCCGTTAGCTTCTCGCCGGCTATTCAACCTTGGGGCCATCTTTTTTGGGGTTAAATTTGGTCCAGAGTTGAGGCTTTTTCTTTCGGGAGGAGGGATTTGGGTAGCAATGGCTTGTCCAATCGTGGAGATGTCTCGTTTCTAGTCGCCAAAACCATCTAGAATCCACTAGTGTTTTGGGAGGTCGCTGTTGCGGGAGCAGCCGCCGCCTTTTGTGTGTGTGGAGTGGAGATGGTGACCGAGATGGCGATGCGAGGTGAGCCGTGGCGGCGCCAGGAGGGGGAGCAGGCGCAGGCGGAGGCCGATCGGGAACGCGAGCTGGACCTCTTCCGCAGCGGCTCCGCGCCGCCCACGGTCGAGGGCTCCATGGGCGCGCTCCACGCCGCCGCCGCCGCCGACGTGTTCCTGGAGGACGAGCTCCGGGCCGACCCGGCCTACCACTCCTACTACTACTCCAACGGCAACATCAACCCTCGCCTCCCGCCGCCGCTGCTGTCCAAGGAGGACTGGCGCTCCGCGCAGCGCCTTCGCCCCGGCTTGGGTGGGATCGGCGACGGGAGGAAGCCCAGAGGTGGAGGTGGAGGCCGCGGCGGCGGCGGCGCTGGAGGGATGGGTCCAGGGGATGGCCTCATTGGGATGCCCGGTCTCGAGATTGGCCGCCAGAATAGCTTCTCCGGTATCTTTCAGGTGGTGCTTCTTCTACACTAGAACAACTTATCCTATCTTATTTAACTGCCATTGCATTGCTTGCACCTAAGCTTTCATGACTTGATTATGTCAGTGGTTCACGCAGTAGATGTCGAGTACAAGCATTGGCATAGGAGTTTTATTACTTTTGGTTCCTTTTTTCGTTCATTCAAGTAGATGAGTTCGTTTGAGTCAATGTTCATGTCTAAATTTTTTACCAGGGTATACGCTTCTCCTGCTGCTTTTACTGTTACGGAGTTAGATTGGTTTATTGTGATTGATAACTCCAATAGTTGAGTTAGATTGGTTTATTGTGACTGATAACTCCAATAGTTCTCCACCTTCATAGCTACTTTGTATGATAAAACCTCAAGTTCTGGCTGACGTTTGCTAGGTTTTGGCACTATAAAACGCCTTTCTGTCGCAAAAGTATTGGTCCTGAAACTTCGTAAGTTGTCGACCAATATGCTATTTGCAGCCAAAATTGTTGTGTTACTGCCTTGTTGTTTGTTACCACATTCTTGGATCTGTACCCATTCCCTATGCTATGTTTGTCTCGGTCATCTGAGTAATGTGATCTGTACATGGTTAGGGAGATGCTGAATTTAGCATGCATACACAAAATTGGTCTAGATTCCACGGAAGCTGCATAATATTCAGGAAATATTTTCTGCAGTATATTTCGTTACAAGTAGATGGAAATGGTTCTGAGAAAGCTTCCCTTGCCACACATGCTAGAATAGTGCAGTATGATAATTGGCCAGCAAATGTCATATTTATATCTTCTTCTGTTTTTTTTTGCAATAAAGTTTATATCATTATTGTATTGATATTCGGTGCAACATGTATTGTTGGCTTCTAGAACTGCTATCTAGGGATGTGGCATCGCATTTCTTGCCAAATGCACTGCATCATGATTACAATTATTATCTTACATTGACATGTAGGTCATTTCCCGTATACGTGTGCGGATTGTATAAAATAGGGTAGATCTTAACTCTCAAGGGAATTTAATTACTCTTTTCTTCAGTTATAATTCTATTCAAGGCTAAAGAAATAACTTCTGACCTATATATGATGCAGGATGACTCGTATCAACACGATACGGATAGACAGGGTGCCAACTGCAATGGTACAGACTTGTTGAGTTCTTCTAAAGTGCAGTATGGTCTACATCGTGAGACTGGAGCTATTAGTGGCCTTCACTCAGACAGCAAAGCACCATGCTTGCCAGAAAACCAGAATGAATCATCACACTCATATGCATCAATAATAGGATCATCACTTTCAAGAAGTGCATCTCCAGATCCTGAACTAGTGAGGAGAGTTCCTAGTCCTTGCCTCCCCCCAATTGGTGTGAAACTTGGTGCTACAGATAAGAAGAATAATGTTGGTTCATCTTCTTTCAATTGTAGTTCTCCCAATATTATTGAATCTGATGATTTGGTGTCTGCTCTATCTGGTATGAACCTGTCGTCATCAAGAGCAATGAACGGAAACACAATGGACCAATCTAAGCTCCATCAGGATGTGGATGATGTTCGTAAGTTCCTTTTTGATCAGTACATGGATCAAACAAATGGCAATCAGCGCCATTCCTACATGAAACGTTCTGAACAAGGACACGTGAAGGTTCCTCAAGAATATTCTGGTGCTTCTATGAATCCTTCTGTTATGAGAAGCCAGATCAATGCTGGTGGTTTCACATCATTTAACAACTCATCGGTGGGATCTGGCTTTGCTTCTCCTAGGCTTGGATCCCGATCACCAGGTGGGAGTTTATCTTCACGGCAAAATCTAACTGGTGCATCTAACCTTCCAAACTACGTTGGAATTGGAAGTCCAACTGCAGCTTCTGCCCACCAGATGCCTGTTGATCCACTGTATGTTCAGTTCCTTCGGGCAGCAGAAATTGCTGCCCTTGCAGCTAACTGTGAGGATCCTTTGATGGATAGGGCTAATCTAGGAGGTTCTTACATGGATCTATTTGGCCCTCAGAAGGCGTACCTTAGTCCATTGCTTCAGTCACAGAAGCAATATAGTTACTACGGGAATCTCGGGGTTGGTCTTGGCTATGCTGGTAACTCTTTAACAAGTCCTATTCTTCCCTCGTCACCAGGTGGACCTGGTAGTCCACTTAGGCACGGGGATCGCAGCATGCGCTATCCATCTGGGATGAGAAATTTTGGTGGTTCCTTTGGCTCCTGGAATTCAGATCTCGGTGGTAAGATGGAGGCCAATTTAGTTCCATCACTTCTGGAAGAATTTAAGAGCAACAAAAGCAAATCATATGAGCTCTCTGAAATCGCTGGTCATGTTGTTGAGTTCAGGTACTCCTTCTCAGTGGATTAATATGTTTCTGTATAACCCACTAAATTTTAAGGATATGTGGTAGAATGGGGAAAATTGAAATATATAGAAAACCCCCATACCATATTGGATAGCGCTAACTTTCATATATTAGTTCTAGATTGGAGGATTCAGTGATTGCATGAAAGATGTTTAATATTGGTAACTGCTTCATTCCATAATTGTTGGAAGAGCTATGTACACAGATCTCTCATCTTTATTGGTCTAATCTTTTTTTTTTTTTGGTTTACATTCAGTGCGGATCAATATGGAAGTAGATTCATACAGCAAAAGCTTGAAACAGCCAGCACTGAAGAAAAAGACATGGTTTTTGCTGAAATCATGCCTCAGGCTCTCACATTGATGACTGATGTCTTTGGAAACTATGTTGTTCAGAAGGTACTGATAACATTTTTTTGTCAGTATAATAGCCATCATGATTTTACCCGCTGACAGTAATCCTTTGAACCAGTTTTTTGAGCATGGGAGCTCAGCTCAGATAAAGGAGTTGGCTGATCAGCTAATTGGACGTGTCTTAGCACTCAGCCTCCAAATGTATGGTTGCCGAGTTATACAGAAGGTGCAGATAATTTGAAAACCCATCTGTTGGTTCTTGAATTAAACCCATAATGATCATTTTGCTTAGTCAAATATATTTTACTTTTCCAAGTAGGCAAGTACTAATAATAAAAAACTTTTACAATCTGATCACATGGATCCCTTAGCAACCTATATTGTGGACAAAAGAGAGTACAAGTTACCTAGTTGTCAGCAAAACTCTTGGTTTGCAAGGCATGACAGATTGAATTTATATTTATACATGTGTGTCGATTCCTATTCATCGGTCTTTGACATATAATGCATCTCTGGTTATCTAAGTGCATATTGGCAACCACAGGCATGCTTGATCTTATCCAGTTATTTGTGTCCATGCACATATACCCTTATATATTGCATGAAGGGCTCAAAGGTGCAGCAAATAAGATGTTTAACTGATGTTATGGACAATATTCATGCAGGCCATAGAAGTTGTTGATTTAGATCAGCAGACTAAAATGGTTGCTGAGCTTGATGGACAAGTGATGCGCTGTGTACGTGATCAAAATGGAAATCACGTTATACAGAAATGTATTGAATGCATTCCACAGCATGCTATCCAGTTCATTGTTTCAACCTTCTATGGTCAAGTTGTGATGCTATCAACTCATCCATATGGTTGTCGGGTGATACAGGTACACTTGTAGTGCCACAGCATGCTATCCGTTGATTGCTTCAATATCCAGTCTATTCATGCTACTTCATAGCTACACTAACCTTTGTCATGCAAATTCACTGGACGCAGAGGGTGCTGGAGCATTGTGATGATCCTAAAACCCAGCAAATCATGATGGATGAGATCCTACAATCTGTTTGCTTGCTGGCTACAGACCAGTATGGTAACTATGTTGTCCAGGTCAGTGACAAAATTTTCCCTTTTTGTTTTTATGGTGGATTTGCTCCTGTTCAGCACCTGTCAACTGTAGCCGCTTGCTAAAAAATAGGGTTTCTGCTACTTGAAATACTGACTACTACATGAGATACTGACCCAAATGTTCATCAATTACATGTAAGAGATTCTTAATATTTCTTTAGCACTGTGATGTGCAAACATGGTTATATTAAATTATTTCAACCACTTCCTATGACATGTCTAGATATTAGAGATAGGATTTTTATGAGGAAAGCTCAGTTTGCTTGGACCTTGCCGAACTGTGTTTCCCCAAGAGTAATACACTCGCTCAGTTGAACATGCTTTTCCTTCCCCTTTTCCACCTTAAGCTATTTTGCATTTATGTATAGGGTGAACGATGAAAATAGTTTGCATATACTGTGATTGATTGATCAGTGGAATTTAGCAGTTGTGCAAGTAGACATGATAAGCCTGGAATGTTGATGCATGTGCTTCTTTCCCCTCATTTGCTCTCTCACTGCAAAAGGCGTTTTCTCTCTTCAATAACCAACCTTATTTGACAGCATGTTCTGGAACATGGCAAACCCCACGAGAGATCTGCTATTATTGAGAAGTTGATTGGGCAGATAGTACAAATGAGCCAGCAAAAGTTTGCTTCAAATGTCATTGAGAAGTGTTTAGCCTTTGGGAATCCTGTGGAGCGTCAAGTCCTGATTGGTGAAATGCTTGGCTCCAGTAATGAGAGCGAACATCTTGAGGTTTGTGTCTGTTTTAACTTGTGGGCATATTTCGTTATTTCTATGCGGTACAGTTTTGCAACATCTCTGCTTCTCAGAAAATTAAGCACCTAATATGAAAAGTTGATGGTCCTTGCTAAAAGTGACTTGTCTTTTTGTTTGAAATCTGAAGGTGATGATGAAAGATCAATTTGCAAACTATGTGGTACAGAAGGTGTTAGAGACCTGTGATGATCAGCAGAGAGAGATGATCCTTACAAGGATAAAAGCTCATCTGAACACACTGAAGAAATATACTTACGGGAAGCATATAGTGGCACGCGTGGAAAAGCTCGTCGCAGCCGGAGGTACGGGACATAACACAAAGAGAGATAAGTTTTGTGTGACTAGGATATGATGATTTGTTATATATAACACAAAGCTGTTTTTGTGTGTGCGCAGAAAAGCGGCTTGGGCTTCAACCATCAACTGCAGCTTGAAGAATAAGCGCTATCTAGTTGTACAGCTAACAGTGGCTAGGTTTGCACTGGCGTCATGTTTTTCTATCTAAACCAACCCCTACTAGTACGAGGCTCTGTTCTGAATGGCCTTGTTAGAAATAAAGAGAGAGAGTAGTAGCTTGCACCGGAGAGTGTACATTCTGTAGCTGAGGAACTAGCACAAGGGAGGGAGATAAAAAGAATCTTCATGTGTACCGTGTACTATGAGTTCTCAAACTGTGTAAAAAGAGGAGGAGCAAGGTGTACAAATTTTTTAGAACTAGAGCGAAAGAGAGGGCTGTTGTTAGCTGTTTTATTAAACTTTTAAAAAGCCAGTCACTAGTACTTTTTTCTTTTTGAAAAAAAAAGAATTAATCTCAGCCCTGCCCGGTATCGATGATTCGATATCATATCAGGGCGTCGCGTTTTGTTGTAACATATACTACTACTACTGTACCACAGATGATGCCTTGAGCTGTTCTGTGGGTGAAGCTGGAGCTATTAATCTCAGCTTTGCTCTTTTTTACTACTACATTTATCATCTACTGGTCGCTTGCTTGTTCTTTTCAGGGTAGATCGTGTATCATTATCGTCATCTTTCTTGTTTCTGGACATATTATTATAATCTAAATGCAGCAATTTATAACAGTACTAAGGTGGTGTTCTTTTTCTCCTGAAGATGAAGATTAAGTTTTTTTACGCAAAACGATGTGGTATTAACTTATGATTGATTGTGTTTTAATTATTACAAACTTGAAAAATAAATTAATATGCTATTTTAGGGCAACTTTTATATAGAAAGTTTTCGCACGAAACGCACCGTTTAACAGTTTAAAAAACATGCCACGAGAATTCAAAATTCCATCCATTCTTTTCATTAGAAACGAATGGGACCTAATAAAACACTACATCCTAAAATATACAGTAACAGTATAACATTTGATAGGATACATTCGTACTAGATAGATGAAGTCTATATTTCATTTGATTCGAAATTGCTAGTATATTATTTATGGGATATGGGTGTTACTACTAATGTAATTTTTATTTGGAACATAGGCAGTATAAAAGAAGGATAGACTGTATAGACTAAGGTTAGGAGAGTTTATTTTGGTTGCTGAAGACTGAAGGGGAGTAGGGTGGGAGAAGAGAAGAGAAATATCTGGTTGCTCCAGCTTGGCATCGTTGACCGGGCCATCCCAACCCAATCCAATCCACAGAATCGCATCGCATCGCCCACAATTTTCAATTATTATACAGGAAGAAGAAAAGGGAAAGGCGGAGAGCAGAGCCACGCCGTCGGATTCGCCCTATCCGAATCTTGAGGAAATATCTCCAGTCCTAATCAGCTTGAGGAGTGCCCCGAAAAGAGCACGGGAATAACGATCGTGCCACTGCAAAAGGGCGCGGGCGGACGGCCGGGATGCAAAAGCGCATCCCCCGAATCAAAAATATCCGGCTCACCGGTCCACGTGGACCGTGATCTCCCTTTGCTCTCTTCTCTCCGTCCCCACCCACCTCCACTTTGCTCTTTATTCCCCTTTTCCCCTCTTTTTTTATTACTATTTATTCGTCTTCCCCCTCTTGTCTTCCACCTCGACTCAACTCAACTCGCACAAATATCTTCTCTCTTCTCACCCACCGCCCGATTCTTCGAGTCCCCGATTTGGTTCGGCCTGAAGAAGGGTCTGGGTCTCTCTAGAGAGTGAGTAGCCATCGATTTGAGATTTGATTAGTAATTCGGAGGAGGAGGAACGAGTGGTTTTTTTGATTTGATTTGATTTGATTGAGAAGAAAATCCGAGTATTATGGGCGAGGAGGCGCCGGAGGAGTACGAGCTGGGCGGCGGGGAGGACGAGCGGGTGATGGAGTGGGAGACGGGGCTGCCCGGCGCCGACGAGCTGACCCCGCTGTCGCAGCCGCTGGTGCCGGCGGGGCTGGCGGCGGCGTTCCGCATCCCGCCGGAGCCCGGGCGCACGCTGCTCGACGTGCACCGCGCGTCGGCGGCGACGGTGTCCCGGTTGCGGCGCGCGTCGTCGTCGTCGTCGAGCTCGTTCCCGGCGTTCGCGTCGAAGGGAGCGGGAACGGGAGCGGACGAGGCGGAGTCAGGGGGAGGCGCGGATGGGGGGAACGGGAACACCAACAACAGCAGCAGCAAGAGGGCGCGGCTGGTGTGGACGCCGCAGCTGCACAAGAGGTTCGTGGAGGTGGTGGCGCACCTGGGGATGAAGAACGCGGTGCCCAAGACGATCATGCAGCTGATGAACGTGGAGGGCCTCACCCGGGAGAACGTCGCCAGCCACCTCCAGAAGTATCGCCTCTACGTGAAGCGGATGCAGGGCCTCTCCAACGAGGGCCCTTCCCCCTCCGACCACATCTTCGCCTCCACCCCCGTCCCCCACGCCTCCCTCCACGACCAGGTTCCTTCTCCTTACCACCCCCACCCCCACCACCACTCCTACAACAACGCCGCCTATGCCGCCACCGTCTCCTCCTACCACCACTACCACCACGCCAACCACTGATCCATTCCTTCTCATCATCATTTCATTTCCACATCTATATACCACATACTACTCCATAACGAAGGTGTTTCATCAATAAGAGAAGAGAAGAGAAGAGAATGCTCCCTCAACTGTAAACTCCTAATTCTAATTAAGGGCAAAGTGTATCCATCCATCCATCCACGCTGTTTGTTTGTAGCTGTTGTTAATTGAGCTGGATGCATGACATGTATCTCTATGTACCTACCTGCGTGACAAAGGCATCATGCATATGTATGGTTCCCTTGCAATTTGGGGAATCCAGAAATGATTCATACTTGTGATTCTTGCAATTGTGATGCTCACACTGTACTCTACACATTCAGTTCCATAAAAAACAAAACTAATACTACGAATATAGATGCGATATATACTATTACTACAAATCTATCTAGATGGTACACATACTTTTCTCTTTGTGTGATGGCAAATGAACTGAATAGCGAATAAATACATATCCATTCATCATAGATAATACTAATAAAACCCTATCACATCGGATGTTTGGACACTAATTATAAATATTAAACATAGACTATTAATAAAACCCATCCATAATCTTGTACTAATTCGTGAGACGAATCTATTGAGCCTAATTAATCCATGATTAGCCTATGTGATGCTACAATAAACATTATCTAATTATAGATTAATTAGGCTTAAAAATTTTGTCTCGCAAATTAACTTTCATTTATGTAATTAGTTTTGTAAGTAGTCTATATTTAATACTCTAAATTAGTGTCTAAATATAGAGACTAAAGTTAAATCTATGGATTCAAACACCACCTAATATGGTACTAGGTTGTGGAATAGCAAGGACAGAGAGATTTGTTCTAGATAGATATTGGGTACACATGACAAGATTGATTGCTGCAAGGAAGAGCAAGTGGCTAGACTACTTATTTGATGAAGAAATGTAATGTGTGGAGCAGCGGAGAACAGCACTGATGGTGACGAGTCCCATGAGGCATGAGGAGCGGAGGAGACAAGTGCACGTCGCCTGCCTCTCTGTCTGTATCTCTACTATGTATGTAGGAGTAAATGTATCAGTATCACGGTCGTTTTTATCCTTTCCATGCCATGCCTGAGAGAAATGAATTGGCTTCGGCTTCGGATTGGATATGCTTCTTCCTCCACCACACAACCAGAGCACAAGCCAAGGCAAACCTCACTGTTGCTTCCCTTCCCTTCGCCCTGTACCAATAGAAGTTCGGATTGGGTTTCGTTCTTTTCTTCTTCTTTTTTTTTTCCCTTGTACCATTAGAACATGGCCATGCCACATATTGCCATCGCTCCATCGCTAACATTTCCACGACGGCCGGCAGCCTCTCTCCTATTACCAAATTTCAAAAGCTTCTATACAAACTAGTGTCAAACTAGTGTAGTACTCTATTCGTTTTTTAATATATATGGTACTGTTGATTTTTTAAGATATATTTAATTATTCATCTTATTAAAAAAATAATGTATTTATTTATTTTATTATGACTTGATTTATCGTCAAATGCTCTTAAAATTTTTTATATTTGCACAAAAAATTTTAAATAAAATAAATGATTAAATATTTATAAAAAAATCAACTGCATCATCATGTATTTAAAAATCAACTGCCTCCCAACAACATCTATCACCGGTGAAAGCAAGAAAAATAGTTAGTTCAGGGATATCATATGCTGCCTGTAATGTATTGGATCCATCTGTACTCCATTATCACGCACGCCTCTCCAAGAAATCATAAGCTCATTAGCGGTCAACACGATGCGATACCGCCATAATCGACTACAGTCTACAAATTTAGGCCAATTTCAAAATTTGTGTGGAGTATAAATTACAACGAATTTTCTGCATTTGCTCTTGTTTGTTCGTACGGATAGATACTACTAGTCCGTCAATTGCCAATAGGCAGGGAGAAAGGAAAAAAAAAACAAAAAAGGAAAAAAGAGCTTTGAGTTGACTGACATGGCCGTGCTCTCCTCTTCCTCCCATGGCCTCCTCCACCCACCGCTCCGTCTCCTCGCCGCCGCCTCCGCCAGTAGCGGCAGCAGCTACTCGATTCCCCATGCGCGCCTCCGCCTCGCCGTCACTACTCCGTCGAGGCTACCTTCCCCCATCTCATCCTCGCCCGACCCACCGCCCGACGTCGCCCACGACGAAGACGAACAGGAAGGTCAGCACCACAAGGAGGAGCGGGACGAGCGGTACGGGTTCGAGATCCAGGTGCGCAAGCTGCCCAAGCGCAACCGCCGCCTCGTCCGCGCCCGGGTCCGCGTCGACGCCCCGCTCGACGCCGTCTGGGCCACGCTCACCGACTACGAGGGCCTCGCCGGCTTCATCCCCGGCCTCTCCGAGTGCCGCCTCCTCGACCAGTCCGACTGCTTCGCCCGCCTCTACCAGGTACCCCCAATTCCTCCTCCACCACCAATCAATTTAGGTTGACCTTATCTGTGCTTTCATCCGCAGGTGGGTGAGCAGGATCTCGCGCTGGGTTTCAAGTTCAACGCCAGGGGCACCATCGACTGCTACGAGGGCGAATTGCAGCTGCTGCCCGCCGGAGCGCGGAGGAGGGAGATCGCCTTCAACATGATCGACGGCGACTTCAAGGTCTTCGAGGGCAACTGGTCCGTCCAGGAGGAGGTGTGAGATGCTATTCCAAATCCATGTTGCCGAATCATACTACCACATTTCATTCCATGCCATGATCCCAACAGCATGATTTTTTCTTTCTTTCTTTTTGAAGAAGAAGAAGAGAGATAGTAGTGCATAGTAAGCATGAATTGAGAAAAGGAATCAACCCCCATTCATCCCAAACATACGACATACTGCATTGATTTTTTTAGATAATGGATAGAAATCCAGCCTCTATACATGTCGCATTGATGGTGGTTCAGATTTAAGATTTTTCACTTTTTCATACAATCAGCTGCTCATTGCATTAACCATCGGTACTTATTCTCGATTAAATCTGATTCCAGCTGGTCTGGATTCTAGAAGCAAGATGCTATGAATTTCATTTTCTGAATCTTAATCTCGAGACTAGGGTTAGATAATATGATGATTTGGGTGTGCTGTTCAGGTTGATGGTGGGGAAATATCAGCGGATCAGGAATTTCAGACTATACTTTCTTATGTGGTGGAACTGGAGCCGAAGCTCTGGGTTCCAGTGAGGCTACTGGAAGGGAGGATTTGTAATGAGATCAAGACCAACCTTTTTTCAATCAGAGAAGAAGCTCAGAGGATCCAGAGATTGCAAGATAAGGTAAACTGTAAACAAGGGTGTTGCTCAATTGCTGTTCCAACATGCTCGAGTCAATTAGTAGTAATTTCTGAACATTCTTCAGTAGTACTGGAAATACAACATTAGCCTGTGGAAATTATGGCAATGGTACATTTGGGAGTCATATCTTTTCTTGTTATATAACTCCATTTTGTTCATTCCACTGTTATCATACTGTACCTTCTTAATTCTACAGAGAAATCCATGCTGAAGTTTGGCAGTATGTTTTCAGTGATTGGTCATCTCTTAAGGCTTCATCCCAATATTACACGTCCTTGATTCTCAAGAATACACTTCAGAAAGGTAGGTATTTAGCACTCCTTAGTTTTTTTTTTCTTTTTTGAAACTTTAGCACTTGTTAGTTAGTTGGACAACTGCCATGAACCTAATGAGTCTCAGTCTTGCAGGGGGAAAATGGGCGAAGAAAGATGATGACGCGCTTCATGATGTTAGTGGAACACCCAAAATTATGACTTAGGTCACTGGGCATGTCTTGTGACAATTGGATTGGTTGATCTTTCTCAATAGAAGAGAGGAAAAGGCAAATGGATTATTTGGAATTCGGACAGCTTTGGACGTGCCTGACAGGCAAATGGATAGAGGGTCCCAAAACCTAATCTTGCTTGTATATCTAGGATTACCTTTTTGCCACTCAATGGAGAAATGATTAACGTTTCGTGATTAACTACACGATGTTGACATATATTGCAATTTTATTTGTAACCAATCCTAGGCAGAAAGCTGCTGAATTGGTACTCACTTAGTCACTTGCCTCTTGTGTTGAAGCGGAGGGGAGGGGATATTTTGGGCTTGATTGGGGGTGCTTTTAACTTCTGTAGCTTCTCCGAGAATCAGAAACTTCTCTAAACAGTTCAGCTTTTGTCTGGATTCTAAAAAACTGTAGTTATAAAATCTAGAAAATGAATTAAAAGCTAGAAGGTAGGAAACCTAGCTTTTCCAGATCATCATAAGCTAGCTACCAACCAGTTGCTTCTTAGAATCTCATAAACATGCCTTTTGTCATCTTCTGTTAGCTTACTTGTACTGTGGAATCATCATCTAAATCAAACTTGTTTGTTCATAATTAATCAAACTTGTTTGTTCAAAATGATGAGAAAATTGCAATATTAGGACTGTAAACATTGGGGTTTCGCACTTTTGACACAAGTGGGTGACAAATAGGCCCATTTGTGTCTATAAAATGTGGGTCCTGTGTCATTATAGCAAATGTTAATATTTGCAACGTCATAATTGCAAATCCCCCGAAAATGAGTCGTTCACCATCTTTGCCACTTTCTCGCGAGGTAGCATAGCAGTGCTCACTGCTCAGTGGGAGGGAGCATCTCGCCGTTTCAATCGGATCGGGCTCCACAAATCCAATCCCGAATTGAATGATGAAATGCGCGGCTTCCTCCGCCACGCCGAGTCGCGAACCCCGCGGGCCTTCGTCCAACTCCTCGCCGCCCAGCCGCCGCGCCCCTCCGCCGCCGACCAGTGCCATGCCGCCGCCACCAAACTCGGTTTCTCCGCCTCCAACCCCTTCGCCAACACCGCGCTCCTCGCCTTCTACTGCCGATCCCGCCGCCTCCGTGAGGCACAGCACCTGTTCGACCAAATGCCCCTAAGGACCGCCGTCACCTGGAACACGCTCATCTACGGCCACGCGCAGTCGACCGCGCCCGACCTCGCCGTCGCGGCCTTCGCGCGCATGGTGCGCGCCGGCGTCTCCCCCACCGCGTCGTCCGTGTCCAGCGTCCTGGTCGCCTGCGTCAGGCTGGAGAATGCCGGTGCTGGAGCAATGCTGCACTCCGTTGGCCTCAGGTGTGGCTTCTTTGCTTCTGTCGTCGTCGGCACTGCCTTGGTGGACATGTACGCCAAATGCCGTCGTTTGGGCGCGGCGCAGCAGGTGTTTGGGGAGATGGAAGAGAAGAACGTGGCCACTTTCACGGCGCTCGTGACAGGGTTCGTTCTAAGCAGAAGGCCTCATGACGCCGTGCTGTTGGTCAGGGAGATGGAACGCTCTGGTGTGGCACCAAACTTGATGACGTACAGCAGCCTTCTCAGCTCATTCGCGAGCCCGGAGGACATAGATCATGGGAAGCAAGTTCATTGCGCAGTGCTTAAGAAGGGCTTGGAGCACGATCCGTTTGTTCTGTCTGCTCTTGTGACAATGTACTCCAAGTGCGGCATTTGGGAAGATTTTGTCAAGGTGCAGATGTCTGTTTCATGTCAAGATCAGGTATCATTCAATTCCGTCATTTCTGGGCTCTCCTGTCTGGGAAGAGGTAAAGAGGCGTTTCAACACTTCTTGGAAATGAGAAGGCACGGCACTGATATGGATGTGTTCACCTTTGCCAGCATATTGAAGGCTATAGGTAGCTCATCCTCGTTGCTAGAGGGTAGGCAGGTTCATACTCTTATTCTGAAGATTGGATATGATTCTGTTGTGGATGTCCAGAACAGCCTGATTTCCATGTATGCCAGACATGGTGCAATAGGGGAATCCAATGGCGTTTTCATTTCAATGGAAGCACCCAATTTGGTTTCTTGGAATTCACTAATGTCGGGATGTGCTCAACATGGCCATGGAAAGGAGGTAGTTGAGATGTTTGAACAAATGAGGAGGCTACATGTTCAGCCAGACCACATAACCTTCTTGTCAGTCCTCACAGCTTGCAGCCATGTTGGCTTGGTAGATAAAGGGCTCGAGTATTTCAACTTGATGAAAGATAAAGGGTATCTTGTGGGAGCAAGGACAAAACACTATGCTTGTATGGTTGATCTTCTTGGTCGAGCAGGCTATCTCAATGAAGCTGAATACTTGATTAATGGCATGCCTATAAAACCTGGTGCATCAGTATACAGAGCTCTGCTCAGTGCCTGCCAGATTCATGGGAACCTTGAGATTGCAATCCGAGTGTCCAAGCGTCTAATGGAGCTAAATCCTCATGACTCATCTGTTCATGTTCAGTTATCAAATGCCTTTGCTGGTGATGGCCGTTGGGGTAATGCTGCTGAGATCAGGGAGACCATGTCAGGTAAAGGAATAGTGAAGGAGCCATCTTGGAGTCGTATTGAGGACCAGATGCAACATAGATAATAAGCAGCCTGTGCTTACAAGATGCATGCCACTGTCTTGGTTGCTACCTAGAACTGAATTATAGACCGAAGCTCTGAGGGTGATGCTTACCGAACGAAGCAAGCTAGAAATATGTGTAAGAAAAGGTATGCCAAAGTTAGTGATAGATTTGACTACCTGCTCGTAAATTTTTGGAGGTTTAAACAGTTAAACTTCCTTCTGCTTTAGTATGAACCTCATTGCGTTTATCATTAGTGAGTAAAGCAGCACCAGATTGGATAATTCTGGTGTTATAACGATGAGTTCTACTGGAAGCAAGATAACTGATCGCCGTATAACTGGAGCCTAAATTAACCTGATGTAATGAACCCTTTAGCCTATTTCTTGTTTTGCATAAGCATAAGTGCATAACAGAAAGTGTATTTCAGTTAAACAAGAAACATCCACTTCCTTCTGTACATAAAATTAACTCTTTTTTTTCAATCTTTTTTTACAGGGCCTTTGCAGGCCTCTATGGCTGTATGTGAGGCTGTGAGCTAATTGTAGGCCCTTTACAATAGAACCAGCAAAATGTTTCATCCTAACTTGCTGTGCTATTGTTGCATGATATAGCATAAGGTTCTATCCATGCAATCCTTTTGTTCACTGCACATTGAACTCATCCCTTGTAGTTTTCAGCTTGCAATGTTCTGTGAGAAGACAAAGATAAAGAGTTATTTTTCTTAAAACTGCACATTGAACTCACCCCTTGTAGTTTTCGGTTTGCAATGTTCTGTGAGAAGACAAAGATAAGAGTTTTTCTTAAAACTGCACATTGAACCCACCCCTTGTAGTTTTTGGTTTGCAATGTTCTGTGAGAAGACAAAGATAAGAGTTTTTCTTAAAAGAGTTTAAGAAAGAGTGGAAGGCGCCAGTACTTATTTGACCCATATATAGCTTAGTACCAACGGTGCATTTTCTTGTTTGATATGTGCTTTTGTTATTGTTTCCTGCACATCATAATTTGGACCCAGTTTTGCAGGGGAACTTCCATAGACCGAGGGAAGAGCTGGTAGGACTTTGTACCAAGCAAATCGAGGAGCGTCAAGACCGAGTGGCTTAGGTTGGTCCATCGAAGTGGGCAAGGGGGAGAAACAAATCAGAAAACGACTGGCCTGGCCTGATGGTAGAATCCATGTTGTGTCTGCCTCTCCTGTGGGCGCTCCAGAAACCAAAGGGGGATCACTTTGAGTAATCATTCATACACAAGTAATCTTGCTTGATGGCCAGTCATGTTACAGACTGTATCATGCAGTTTGATGCCTGTTTAAGCTAAGAGAACGGGGGTTTTCCTTCAGTTTGCTGCTTGAGAGAAAGCTTGTGACAGACAAGACGAAGAAATGTCATGGCTGGAGGCGGTTTGGGCCTTGATGGTTTGGGCCGAGGAAGCAAAGAAGCCCAGCGAGAGGATGAAGGAGGGCAATCCTCCGATACCACCGAGACGGGAGAGCCTCCACACCTGACCTCAGCAAAAGCAGCAGATCGACAAATCCTCCCCGCCACAGCCACCGTCCTCTCCAGCGAGTCTTCTTCTTCCTCCTCCTCCCGCTCGCTCGCAAGTGCCAAGACAGACTGCCATGTCTCTATCGATTCCAATGGTCTGTTGCTGAAAAGGACAATCTGGTAGAGCGGCTCGCACGATACAGACACATGCACTTCTTGGGGATGCTCGCCCCTCCTTCCTAGTAACATTCTTCACCCCCCATTTTCTTTGTTTCTACTTCTCTTTCCCTTTCTTGTGCTCCCTCCCCTCCTCAATCCGTATATATAAGCTAGCTGCTCGTTCTTGTTGGCTCCTTCTTCCTATTATTTCTTTGTTTGCTCCCTCCCCTTGCTGGTTGGCTGGCTGGGTCGGTCGGGTTCTTTCTTGATCTGCATTTCGCCCTCCGCCACCGGGATGGAGAACGGACACGCCAAGAATCTTGTGGCCGTCATCGGCAGCGGCAACTGGGGCAGCGTCGCCTCCCGCCTCATCGCTTCTAACACCGCTAAGTTGCCCTCCTTTCATGGTAGGTACCTTCCCTCTCACAATTCTCCATTAATTCCCCATGTGTTGCATTTCTGAATTATGCATCTCCCTATGTGGGCTCTATGCATATCAGCATATGCATTGTGTTTGCTACAACTGTTGGGTCATTTCCATGTCTATTGTTGTTTGTAATTGTCTTCTCTAAGACTCTAACCATTCAATCAGAGACCATATATACCCTGTGTTTTGTTGGGATCTTTCTACTTGTAACAAAAACAATCTTACTGCATTCCACTTAGCCCCTGTAAGATGTTCTTTTGAGAGCCTATCAATGTTATCCAACCGCATGAAACCATCAAATTGACTTTATTATTTAAGATTGAATTGCCATGTTGTAGTCTGCAAATTATCTACCACAAACGTACTACTCCCTCCTTCCTTAAATGTTTGACGCTGTTGACTTTTTTAAACATGTTTGACCGTTCGTCTTATTCAAAAACTTTTGTGAAATGTGTAAAACTATATGTATACATAAAAGTATATTTAACAATAAATCAAATGACAGGAAAAGAATTAATAATTACTTAAATTTTTTGAATAAGACGAACGGTCAAACATTTTTAAAAAAGTCAACGGCGTCAAACATTTTGGGATGGAGGGAGTAGTATTTATTGGGTACTTGGGGGAACTCTAATGCTAGCTATGGTTCTTTTTTGCATGAGTTCTTTTGACAACCCTACATCCTGCACCTATTTGTGCTGATTTTGTTGTAATTTATTCGTAGATGAAGTAAGGATGTGGGTGTTTGAAGAAATATTACCAACAGGCAAGAAGCTCTCTGAGTCCATTAACCAAGCAAATGTAAGAGTTCAAACTAATTCCCCGTGCTTTATTTTACTTCTGGAATCAGTAAATGATTCTAGCATGATCCTCGCATATTACAGGAGAATTGCAAATACTTACCTGGTATAAAGCTCGGAGCTAATGTAATTGCTGATCCTGATTTGGAGAATGCAGGTAAACACCGTAAATTGTATTCCTAATTATAATTATTCTTAATTGGATACATTGCTCTTGGATGCTACAATAATGCTTAGAGATCTAGTTAATGAAGGAAGTTCTCTTCACCAAAAAAAAGAAAAAGAAAAAGAAAAAAGCCAGCAGCTGCTTCAGTAAAATGAAAATCAACTTATAGATACACTCAAAATTATTAGCTTTGATGTGCTATTTGATACTACTTTGGGGGGTGGGTGGGATGTTGTAATATAGGTTTCATAAGCAAAATGCTATCATCATTGCAGCCTCCCTGTCTACATCATGCTTTTTTTCATCTTGACAAACAAACACCCATAAAAGTCTCCTTTTTTTTTCAGTGAAAGATGCAAATATGCTTGTTTTTGTGACTCCCCATCAATTTGTGGAGGGTATATGTAAGAAGCTTGTGGGTAAACTAAGGCCAGGAACTGAGGGTATCTCCCTCATCAAGGGCATGGAGGTCAAGATGGAAGGACCATGCATGATATCTAAATTAATTACAAACATACTTGGAATCAATTGCTGTGTCCTTATGGGTGCTAACATTGCAAATGAGGCAAGCATCTTCTGAACTTCCCATGCAAAGTTTCTTTGTACTCCCTAAAGGTGAAAAGTAACCAGGTGCACCTTTCAAATGCAGATTGCTGTTGAGAAATTCAGTGAAGCGACAATTGGATATAAGAAAGACAAGGAAGTGGCAACCCGATGGGCTAAACTTTTTACAACACCTTACTTCCTGGTTTCTGTTGTAAGTTCAACCATAAAATCTCATTGAAACAAACCCTCTCACCAGAGTGATTCCTAGCAGTGGTTCAGCAGAAAATGAAAAACCTGTGTCCTTCATGTACAGGTAGAGGATATTGAAGGAGTTGAATTATGTGGAACACTGAAAAATGTCGTGGCCATTGCAGCAGGTTTTACATGTTTGTTAATTTGTAGTAGTCATTGTTTCCTTTCAAATTTTAATATTTAAGTGATGGAATCAACTTGCAGGTCTTGTTGATGGTTTGGATATGGGGAACAATACCAAGGTATGCTATTTTTATTGAAAACATAACAGAGAAGAATTTTCATTGTATCATAGAGTTTAATGATCTGTTTTATCTATTTGTCAGGCTGCAATAATGAGGATTGGTTTGCGGGAAATGCGTGCTTTCTCTAAGCTTCTATCCCCTACAGTCAGGGACAACACTTTCTTTGAGAGCTGTGGTGTGGCTGACCTAATAACTACATGCCGTATGTATCTCATTGTTCTCCTTTTACCATTGAGCTGACAAACACTGACAAGATGAGTGTTTCATGGCAGTTGGTGGGAGAAACAGAAGAGTCGCTGAGGCCTTTGCACGAAATGGTGGCAAAAGGTTTCTTGTCTAAAACATACATAATGTCTTTTGATAATTTTACTCTATACTTTAACTTTGTTAGAGAATCAAAATACAAAGTATGTCGATGTTGATGGCCTATACTAAAGAGTTTTCACATAGATTTTTTTTTCTGTTTTGTGATGATTACATAATAACTATGGTATTTCATCATTCTTACAGGTCTTTTGATGAGTTGGAGGCCGAGATGCTACATGGCCAAAAACTTCAGGTAAGCAAATATCTGGAACCAAGCAAACATGGTGAATTCGTTGCCTTCTTAGTGCATCTAATCTTTATTAGTTTCACTTGCAGGGAGTGTCCACAGCAAAAGAAGTTTATGAAGTCTTGACTTATCGAGGGTGGCAAGAATTGTTTCCTCTTCTGTCCACAGTGCATGAGATTTGTATTGGTCAGCTACCTCCTACATCAATAGTTGAATACAGTGAGCACACGCCCAACCTCTCCATCATCAATGGTTCTAATGCGTATTACTGAGCTAGATTCTGCAAATTGTATTATTGCCACTATTCTCAGTATCACTTGTTACAACAGAACAAGTTGAAACATACCTAATGTCTGAATCCGTTATATATATAATATTATTATTCAGCCATGTCACCTCATAAAGTGCATGACTGATTATGTGTTTCTGTCCCTTGTTGTTTGGAAATTGAGTGACCTTGCCAGAAATCCATGGATTGGAATAAACAAATTCAGTTTATATGGAAAATAGAGTGAAAGAATTTCATGGTATAATTTATAAGGGTGCTTCTTGAATGAAACACCACAAACAACAGGCCATGCTTAAGTTTAATAACCTGGAAGTTTAAAAAGTTAATGACCCTCGCCCAAAAAAAAGAAACAATTTACATCCAGTATGCAGTTCACTGTTCACCCATTTCATAATTTTGTAATATAGTGTGTTTTTACAAACACGCTGTGTACATTGTTTCCAACTTCCAAGTATCACAAAAGAAAACTAATATTTGAGCCTTTATATTTAGAGCTTTCCACATTTCAATAATTCATTGTATGTAGTAAAGACCAAGGAAATGTTGAGTGATAATTTGGGAAGACTTAAATAGTGTTGTTTTGGATTCATGGAGTGCTGATTTGATATTGAAATGTTAAATTTGGAAGGATTCCCAATTACAAACTGTTGATCAGGCCTTGTAATTTTGGAGCTGCTTTTGCTGACAGACAGAGCAACAATGGATTGTAGAACTATAATACCATATTCCTACTTCCTAGATGGAATGTTTCATCCGAAAGCCTCACTGGCCTGGAATCATGATGGGTAGAGGGGTAGGTGGAGGTGTGCAAGGAACTTGAGAGCGATCACTGTATTGCCTTATATGATAAGTAAGCAATGAACTAACTGAATATTCCAGGACCACCAGGTGGACTTGATGCCTGTGCTGATCCAGTTCTGGGTCATTGGGTGTACTGACGATATCATTGGACACAAACATGGAGAACATTTCTAATGGAAGAAATTGCATTCTAATACAGTGAAACACAGGAATAAAATATTAGAGACTGAATTTGAACAAATAATCATTCTACTATAATTTTCTGAATCAATTGGAATTCAAGTTCCTAGAGTTCACACTATGACATGGAGAAGAAGTTTGCGAGTTATGTAATGAAAGAAGTTAAAAGTGTACTTTCTATATTTTAAGTTTCGTCCAATGACTTCATTTAAGAGTAGCAGATTTTGCACCTAGCTTTTGTCATGCAGATTTTGTTAAGCTTCTCTTAGCTGAACCCATTTTCACTATTATCGAAGTTTGCTAGTTGAAAATTTGGTCTTTGATACAAAATGCTGCTTCCTTTCAGTAAATTTTAGTGGCCTTAGAATTTTACAATCCAAGTACCTTAAGAACCTTCAGATAATGCAACTTTCTGCTATAGGCTACTTGATACAGTGAATAGATTGTTGATTTCCTTTTTGAATGGCATGTGTTTCTGATGATCTATTTTAATATAAGATGTATTTCTTTTACTCTTAACACATGCAGGTATTACTTAGAAATGATATTTATTTTAGGAGTGTTTTGTATTCCCTGGACAGTTTTCACTTGTAGTTCTCCAATTTCATCTCAATAATCAAATCTTAAACATATTGCAATAGCATTTGCCAAGATAAAATTATTCATGGTACAGTATCCACTATATGAAGATGAAGCGGAAACACGCTAATGATTGTTCATGTCCTGTCTTAGATGCAACCAAAATAAACTATTTCACCTTTCACGGATTAGTTGATTTATCATATTTTAGTGGATTAAATTGTCCACAACATTTTAAATTCCAATCTTCCTGGGGAACAAGGACCAAAAGAATCTGCCAAACACATCACTTTCATCTTTTTATGTCTACAAAGTAACTTTTGGTGTTGAGCCTAGACAAGACACAAACAAGATAACATGAAATACCTCCAAAACTTGAACAGCGGAATTTATTTGGAGTCATGGCAATATGCTCATCGAAATTCAGGACCTAGTTTCTTTCTTTAAAAGAAAACTGTGACTCATGTTTCAATTCCAACTGGCATAAGTTTTTATTTCTATTGTGACCTGACATGAACCCGTTTCAGGAATCCACTGAATGCTGTTCTCTGAAGATGTCATCAATAACAGTTTCAGCTTGCTAAAGGTCTTGAAGGACCTCTGCTTTCTAGTGGAGCAAGGCTCAGGAAATTCTTCATGTCAGTGTTCTTCGTTGCGGGGTCATCAACTCATCTGTCAGATCTTGGACATTTCCAGGCCTTCAGCAACAGTCCATGCAAGAAGTCGTCAGAATGCACTTACATTTCACATCTGTTTATGACTGATTACACATTATGCTCATATGTGCTTTATTTTTTTAATGATACAACGCATCAGTATGTGAGCAATATAGTTTGCTCATATTTGTTATCGTCTAACAGTGGCTTGTTAACTATGTTGAGGTTTTATATTCACAACTAAAAACTTTGTACGCTGGGAATACTTAAACCCCTTAACAGTTCAAGACTCCAGGCTGTGTTTAATATTAGTCCAACATTTGCCTGAGAATTGTTACTTGCTTGATGCACTTGGTACTGAAATCTGCAAATCGTTGTTATCATTCTACATATGCCTGAGAATTGTTGCTTGCTTGATGCACTTGGCACTGAGATCTGCAGATCGTTGTTGTTATCATTCATTCTACATTTCTCTGATAAGGAGTCCCTCCCGTTCAAATATGATTATGATTCGATAAAAACAATTGAAAGTAGATGAATTCAAAAGTCATCAGGCTGAAATTATCTGACAGTACAGAATCTGTAATGCTGCAGATACATCCATAAGCATATCTGGTTGAGCAAGGTACAGAAAATGACATCAAATTAGAGCAGCCATTCTGGAACATTCATCAGTACCATGGAAAATATGATCAAATATCCATTTGATTTAGTCACATTTTACCAGTATTAGTCTTAGAACCATAACAAACATGACAGACCATGCTGGTACAAAATACGCAATCCTCGGATCCTCACTAACTTATTAAGTTCTTGACCTTTTGAAAGACTGACAACAATACTAAGCAGACTCTGACTTGGTGTAGATCCTTACAGCAACAGCCAATCCCAATATCGCCAAGGGAACCAAAAACTGGAGGATCTTGATGATGAACTCTGGTGTCTTATCCTGGTTGTAGTGTGGTTGCTTCGGGGGCGTGTACTTCACCTTGGTGGGTATCGTGGTTGCGTCAATGTCGCCGACATAATACTCATCCATCATCGCCCGAGCAGTGGTGCTGTGCCCCACATCTTCGAAGTCGTCGGTAGCATCCTTGGCTGCAATATTCAAGTACCATTGTAAGCTGAAATCAGATTTCCTGAAACCTTATCGATCAACAAGTATGCAATGCAGCAATGGGGCTTTACCAGTCGAAGACAACAAGACATCATCACCTCCAGGGTGATCCTCCAAAAACTTGGTCACATTGTACACCTGCAAGTAGCAAAACAAATACTTCTATGAGTTTGATTTGTGTAAAGGGGATTTTTTTTTCACCATATAAGGCCTCGTCAATATAAAAGCAACAATAACCAAGCACATTTCAGTGTATAAAAATGAGCAAATGACCCTAGCAACCTCCCTTATAGAACAGTTTGTTGAAAAAATACATATCTTTTGATCAGCCAACATCATGTTCACAGAGTCAAAATAGCTTCTTGACATATACTACACGAGAACATATAAGCTCCCTAAAGTTCTGAGCATATTTTAAACAGGCTTGTTCATCTGATTGAACTGGAAATAGAGAAGTAAGCAAAACTGATTTTTCCTTGGCTCTATGAAGTAAAAGATCTTGCATTATTCTTTAGCGTTTGACATATCAACAGAATTGTGAATCCTATGGAATAAAAGATGAAACAAGAGCTGCACATTTAGATTACAAAGAACAGTTTCTCGCATTAAACCACAAAATATTTATACCAGGACTAGTGAGGTACATTCTTATATAGGCTCCATGAAAATGACTGGTTAAGAAAAGATGTTCAGGAACATTACAGGAAAAAAAATGTGCAGTAGGAGATTCTCAACAAAAATTAAGGTCAGGATAGGCTAATTTATGAGGGATGTTTGCTATCCTATCCTATCTGGAAAGCCATATCCGCACAGTGATGAAAAGTTTGTCCCTAAAAGTTCCCAGCAAGACCGTGTGTCATACTAATCAAAAGAAAAGAGAAGAGAAGAGAAAAGGGAGAAGACCTTGCCGCCGATGATGAGCCAGCAATCGTCCTTGGTGTTGTGCTTGGAGACCTCCTCCAGGGTCAGCACCTTGTTGTTGGACATGTTGATCTTGATCGATCTTGCCCTCCTCTTGCTCCTGCCTCCTGCTCCTCTCTCTCCCAAGTCCCAACTGGCAACTACCAAGAGATGAGATGAGAGATGGGACGAGAGAAGGGACGAGGAGCGCGAGGCGAGGAGGAGGAGGAGCTTTGGATCCAACGACGAAAGAAAGAGAGAGAGAGAGATCGCGAATGAGGAGGAGGAGGAGGAGGAGAGGATTGAGGAGCAGTAGAGTTGTATAGTGGGAGTAGGTCGAAGGGCCCACCAGTCATAGTCAGTTTGGTTGGTGGGTAAGGGCGCTTGTCTCACCGACCCCAACCACATGGTTCCTTTTTTTTTTCTTTTCTGTGTACTCCACACCAACAACCGTAGCAGCTAGCCAGCTAGTCTGTGGATCCGATCCGTATGCGACTAGACTAGTCTGGTGTGTGGGCCCTCCCTCCCTGTATCTGTATGTTGTACAAATACGGTACTACTGTACTTCATGCTTTTCTGTCCAACAGAAGTAGTGGTGGCCAATTGGTTTACAGTTATACTACACGGTTTATACAGTCTTTTGGAAATTCAAATTCTCTTTCTGAACGACCACCAAAACTTATTCACGTAAAAGAGAAAAATGTGCAAAAATAATTGCTTCTTTTTTCCTACTGGTTTATGTTTTTACCCAAAGTATAAACTACTCCCTCCGTCCCATAATATATCTAGTCCTAGGATGGATCTCATCCCATCCTAGGTTGCTATATTACGAGTCATGTCTAGATACATTGTCCTATAATAGATTCCATCCCATCCTAGATTGCTATATTATGGGACGGAAGCCAACCTGCCAAGTCTGCCCAAATCCTATGCAACTCTCACTTGCTTCCCATCATGTGCCACTAACTCTATAATTATGAACTACTCCCCACGTCCCTAAATATAAGAGATTTTGGTGGGATGTGATATATCTTATTACAATGAATCTGGACAGAAGCATGTCCAAATTCGTTGGACTAGGATGTGTCACTTCCAACCAAAATCTCTTATATTTTAGGGACGGATGGAGTATCTCTCATTCAGCTATATTTATATCTTTTTTTTTTGTCTTCTTGGATAACATACATAACTTAGAGTGTGTTTGGTTCACGGTCATGCATGGATAGGATATGGCCATCCATATTTTGTTGGATATGGCGATCTAATTGCTTTATTATGCTCTACTCAGTTGTTATCTCTCTAGCTAATATCGACATGGTTCAATAATCGTATCCGGGTGTTTTCCTTTTTATCGTAACCAGACATTTTCACATTCTATATTTTTTTTAAAAGCAACAGTGAAGACGATATAACATGGGGATCGATGTGGGAAGAAGGTTGATTTTTCGGCTTTCTAAAGATGGGAAACTAACAGAAACTGAAAAGCAAACTATAATAAGACCAGAACTGAGATGATCGAAAGATTTTAAGAGAGAGAGAGAGAGGCTAGTTTGGTCGAGTTCGTTCTTCGTTTTTTATTTTTACGAATTTGTGACAGCCCCAAAGTAGCCACCGATTATTAATAAATATTACAAAGAAACAAAGAGGGAATCCCAGTAATTATTACATCTATCCATCACCATCTTTAATTTTCACCGATGAAAAATAATGAGAGACAAACAATCTTGAAATGTGGATGGGAATTGAAAATGAATAACAATGAATACGAGTACTGAGAAACACTTGGAAGTGCCGAGATAACAACAACGAACTTTACAAGCAGGATGAATTAAGAGAGTCCTCTTCTTGTGTTATTATTTTGTATCCTTGAAATTAAGAAACTGATTTAATTTAAGCGTTCTTGGTTGGGTAGGAGGCCATCTTGTTGATGCCGCAGAGGCCGTCGTGCTTGCCGGTGCCCCTCCTCATCCGGATGTACCCCTTCTCACCCCAATGCGATCCCCACGAGTTCTTCACGATGATGTAATCGTGTCCCTTGCTGGCCGTCCCGTATCCAACGGCCGTCACGCCATGATCCAGCCGCGTGCCGCACGGACCATCAAACACACCCTGACCGATTAATCACCATTAATTTCAAGTCAGGACAAGAAGAAAATGGCAAATTAAGAAGTAATTACAAACAATTTACTACTACAATTAAATTCCATTAACCTATACTCCTATAAAGTCTCTAGTGATGGTGGCAGTGAATCAAACACCCACTGCTGTTTTTAAAAATTGACTGCTGATATCTTTTGTTATTATGGAATAGCCCAAATATTCAGTTCAAACAAATAAACAAGTGGTACTAATATGTTCGATAATTTTTATAATATTTATTACATACTATAATATATTTTCTTTTATCTATAGCAAAGCATTTGTGTTTTTTTAGCTATTGAAGAGAGAACATTGTTGATTAATTGTTTCATACCCCGCTGTAGAACTGGAAGTTCCTGCCTGAGGCCTCGATGGCGACGCTGACGGGCTGGTGGGCCAGGGCCTTGAGCAGGGCCTGCTCGTTGTTCCTCGGCACGTCCTCGTACCCGGAGATGGTCACCGCCGCCGCCGCCTCGCCGTCGTCGTCCCCCTCCGTGCTGCCGCGGCGGCAGGTGCCTTCCTCCATCAGGTACGGGTAGGACTCCTCGGTGTGGAGGCCGCCGTTGGCGGCGATGTAGGAGAAGGCGTAGTCCATGAGGCCGCCGCTGCAGCCGTTGTTGCCGTCGGTGTCGCAGTCGATGAGCTCCTGCTCCGACAGGCGCGTCAGGTTGCCGGTCACGATGGCGTTGATCCCCTCCACCGCCGCCACCGTCGAGAACGCCCAGCAGCTGCCGCACTGCCCCTGGTTCTTCACCTCCGTCACCGCCCCCTTCTTCCTCCAGTCCACCTCCTTCGGCAAACTTGCCGCCTCCACCTCCTCGTACCTGAACAACTGATCGTTGCTGTTCCTCCTCGCCGGAGTGAGGGTGAGGCCGAGGTAGGCAGCCTTGAACTCGTCGTGGGTGAGGTCGGCGAACTCGTTGAGGCCCAGCCAGTAGCCGGTGATCTTCTTGTTCTCCTCGTCGATGTGGTTGAGGTTGTCCTTGAACACCTCGAACCTCCTCAGCTTCTCCTCCAAGCTGGAGTAGGCCTTGCGGTACTTGGCCATGAACTTCTCGAACAGCTCCATCAGCCTCTCATGCGACGCCAGATCCTCCTCCGAGTAGCCAACTATGGACAATTCACTGGGCATGGCTACCGCTACGCATGCGCCGCCGCACAGCAGGAGGAGCACAAGAGCCAGGGGAAGCTTCGAATTCATTGAAGCCGCCATTGTTGCAAGCTACTACTAGTAGGATGATACAAGCTGCTGCTGCTGTGCATGGTAGAGATGAGAGAATGCATGTGTATATATAGCTTAGCTTTTCTTTCTTTCTTAGATCGATTGTTAATTTTGCTTGAAAGCAAAGACACGATCGATCGATCGATAGATCAACTGCGTGTGCTACATGTTGAAGGTTATATGAACCATGCGAGAGCTTTAAGACATGGTTAGCATCTTGGATGATTTGGTATCTGAAGAACTAGACTTTGCTTTTAAGCATGCATATGATATGAACGCTGGGCGCTTACTCTTGTAGTAGTAGTAGTATTATATGGAGCATCAGGGAAACTGTTTTAATCTCTCGAGGGGATATCCCCTCGTTTTTTGTATGTCACTTAAATGGTTATAAAAAAATTTAAAAAAAATTGGAAAGGTGTATTAACATGTGATATAACACTCCACAAACATATAAGTTCAAATTCAACTTCTACATCTCGTAACGAAAAAAACAAATTGAACCGCAGCTAGTTAACGTATATTCAGAGCCAAATTTGTTTTTTTTCGTTGCGAGATGTAGAAGTTGAATTTTTACTTGCATGTTTGTGGAGTGATATATCACATATTAATACATCTTCTTAATTTTTTTCAAATTTTTTTATAATCATTTGAGTGATATGCAAACAACGAGAGGATATCCCCTCGAGTGATCAAACTCCTCTTCCGGAGTATCATCTAGAAGCAAGCCTGAACAAGTGTCAGGCAGGCATGCATCTGAAGCAAACTGCACATGCGAGAGGAACTGGAGTACTTAATTTCAGAGAGACATAATTATTATCCTTCACGTGTTTTTTTTTCCTGGCAGTATATAATCCATTTCATATATGGTTTACTACTTTACTTCACAGCTAAGACGAAGATAGAAGAGAAAAACGCAGGTGAACTAATTAAGCCTAAACTTTTGAGAACTAATAAGGGCCTAAATTGTTCTTGTACACTCCAAATAAGAAGGCCCAAAAGTAAGCCCATGGGCTGGTATATATCATCGTCAACCACATTGGAGCCCACAACCAGCTCATTTTCGCTTTTGTGCCGCCCATAATAACAACTAGCAGCTCTTGAGTTTTGATCGAAATGTTACGGAACAAGTAAATATTATTATCTTGTTTAGATTTTTTTCCAACACATGTAAAGTTCTGTACTGCTATAGAATAATACTACGTCCGTAGTGCATCATTTGGAGGAGTACTTTTGTTGAAACTCTGTTCAGATATATAGGCAGGCAGGCAGGTTTGGCACACGTACGTACGTACTTTCGCTAGCCATTATGACCGTAATCTAGCAATCATGCAAGCTTAATTAGAAGTATAGTAGTACTAATCTATTGCCCTGGGAGTCAATAAAGACACGCATACTAGTAGCACAAGGCAAAGAAAAATCTGCCCTTTTTTTATGGTACAGATGGAGTAATCTAGTCGAGACTGTTAACTAGTAGTACAAATTAATGGTACAAAACTACAAATAATGTACAGTAAACTACAAATATATATACTCCATCAGTAGAAAAGTATATTCTTGGTAAACGATCGGTGGAATGGTAAAGACAAGGAAACATGATGGAAATGAAGGCTGAGAGAGTTGCTGAGACGACTTGAGACTTGAGAGTTGAGAGGAGATCGACCGAGATCTCTACGTAGTACGTGTGTTGTGTACGCGACTATCTGCATCAAGAGAATATCGCGCATATATACGTCCTAGCTACTCCCTCCGTATTTTCAATGTATGACGTTATTGACTTTATAACTAACATTTGACCACTCGTCTTATTCAAAATTTTTATGCAAATATAAAAATATACTTGTGTCATGCTTAAAAAACATTTGATGATAAATCAAGTCACAATAAAATAAATTATAATTACATAATTTTTTTTGAAAGGTTAAACGTTTGTTAAAAGTCAACGCGTCATATATTAAAATATATGAATGGAGTACTTAATTACGTATGGGTTGAATTAATTGAGGAAGAAAAACGAAGTCTCCACCTGATACTAGAGTTGCGTTGACGAAATCAAAGCCACGCAATCAATTAAATAATTAAGATAGGTACACGTGTGGTGGATAAAGATGATCTAGAGAGAGAACGTTCGCACGCTAGCAAGTATAGTTAGGCACGATCGATCGAGTTGAAATGGAGGCTTGTTTTTTGTTGGTATAGGGAGAGATGAAGGCTACTAATTAACACATGCATATCTTACTAACTAATTAATGTGATCCTGCCAGCAGTACACGTCCATGGATCATCCAATATTAATTCATGCATGCAGTTCTTAATATTTTTCTATACAACTTTTTTAAAAAAATAGTAAAAGTCTGGCATGAAGTAAGTACGTACTACGTGTGAGTCTTCAACCGTCCACATCAGCGTGGAGAAGCAAGGAAAGAAGCGAAATGTATGTAATCTCAAAAATAAAGAAGAAGAAGAGTATGAAGCTGTGACGTGGAGGGCTGACCGTTGACTAGTGAGAGCAGAAAAGACAGCAGAGAATAGGTCCAAGTTGTTGATGGGCCCACATGACAGTCACAGAGAGCGTGGTGGGCTTGTACGATGATGGGCCATCGAGATTGAGCCCAGGTTGGATAGATAACCAACCTATGGACTACAGTAAAGGGTGTGTGTGGTCGGGTCGGCTCAGCTGGAGTGAGGTCGAGGAGGAGGAGTCGAAACGGAAGCCGCGTCGCGGTTTCGGTCTGGTCCCCCCCCGGAGCCACGCCACGCCATCGTCGTCTTCCTCCTCCACCTCCTCCTCGTCGTCGTCGTCGTCTTCTTCTTCTTCTCCCCCTGCAACGCAATCCCATCTCATCGACCTGCTTGCCTGCATAGTGCGCGCCAACCCCAACCCCTTCCCCTCTCCAAATCTCCTACTGCCCCGGCCCCGTGCTTCTTCGACCTGGGCACCCGCACTGGTGCGGGATTGGACTCACAGATTCTAGGGTTTCGCCCCTCGCGGCGATTCCACCACCCAAGGTACGTTATTATACCTCCAATTCCCCCCACCCCCTCACCATCTTCTTCTTTCTTGTACCAAATTGCAATTGCCACGCCCTGCAGATTCCCTCTCCTCCTTATAACCACACCCAATTTCTTTCTTCACGCATCCACTGATTATTCCAAAACCAATTTTTCTTCTTCTTCTTCTTCTTCTTCTTCTTCTTGTACTTGCGCTGTATGGACTATTTACGGGAGGGATTATCTCGCAAACGGGGCGGGGGGAAAAAAGACGGTACAACTGTTATTCTTGTCCCCCTAAAAAAAAGCGTGTCTTTTTTCCCCATGTTTACTTAAGCGGGGGACAGACAGGATGAACTGATTCCTGTTACTAGTAGCTTGGTTAGTTGGTCGCCAGTTCACAGCTTTTCTATATTCTGCAACCTTATTAACCCACTTCTTGCCTTAATTTAAACCATGAACCGACTGTCTACTCTGTACGTTCCCTTACCATTACTACAAGTACCCTCCAAGAACCCACCCTTTTTAAGTCAAGCCTCGGGATCTCCCTTGCACACCTCCAATTTCCATGCCTTGTATCCAAAGCTCAAGGCCTTATTCCCACAAACAACTCCAACCTACAAAAGCCTAGTTGCCACTCGCAAAAGGCTTTACCCGTTGATTGATGGTATTGTTATCGTAATCAATCTAATTCTCTTTTGGTTCAGCTAACCTTGTTATGCAGCTACATCCGTCTTATTTTCATTTATGTATCACTGTCCTTCAGGTTTGCGTTCCTTCTGTTGGTGCATACACGACTCCACCTATCACCGTTATGTTCTCGCTGCGCAATGCATAGAAGCTGCACTCACGAGGCTCCATCTCCTATGCTTGTACCAGTATACTAAACAATGGCCAAACTTCCAATAGTTGGTCGCAGGTTTGTCTCGCTTCCTTTTCCTTATCTATATTCCTTGCTATGCTACTTCCTTTTGATCCTTATCTTGGCGCTCATGCAGTGCACCTCGCAAACCCAACGAAAGCATGAGGCTTCTTGTAGTAACAGTTATTGGGGTGATGTTAGGTTTCTTTATTGGAATTTCGTTCCCAGCAGTTAGCATAACAAAGGTATGGACATGGCTTATCAATACACTGCACTGATGTAAGTTTCCTTTGAAGAGTTTTAACATGCTGCTCTTTGCATATGTTGCAGCTTCACTTCCCATCTAGTATTGTTTCGTACATAGAAGACAAGAACTCAGCATTGACAGCTCAAGCGATACTAAATCATGCTTGGACAGCTGCTAGGAATGCAAAGGGAAATGATACTGAATCAAGCTCAGACACTGCCATGAAGGTACGATGCTGTGTGTTTGCTTTGATCCTACAATTGAGTGATGCACCACAAACAATCTTCTTTCCCCCATTTTTTCTGTTGCGCAAGAATACAGTACTTTTACTCTAAATGACAGCATCAAGGGGAACTATGTTTTGTTTCTGACCAACTTTTTCCTTTTGATATTTCTGACACTGTTATTGCTTGATAACTTTCTAGATTTATGTACCAACAAACCCCAGAGGAGCAGAGAGCCTGGCACCTGGTATTGTTGTACCAGAGTCCGATTTTCATCCACGCAGGTTATGGGGAAACCCAGATGAGGTAATATTCATGTATCCACTCTATGTTTCATATCAGCTCTAATTCCTGTCAGGATATGTTCAGTTTCTTGGATGCCTTCTCTTTTTTTTTTCACTTGACTATGCTATATTTCCACTTAAAAAGAGAAAACAAATATGCTATATTCTTCTCAGTTCTCACAGCTTTTTTCTTAAATAACTTCTTATGTTCTTGCGCCGATTTGTCACTATTAGTTGTTCTCATGCAACTAATTCATGCTGCTATATACTGATGATTCGACCATGCAAATCTGAGCTGTTTTTTGTGAATTCTCTTCTGGTTTTTCCTTATTGTTCCATCAAAGTTGGCTAATGGCAATGGGTCTTAATTTCTGCTCGCTGATCTTTATTGTTCCTAAAAAATAGTATTGATGTCCCTTACAAAGTGTATAGCTATATATTTGTCTGTCACTGATACTGATACTTAATTTTGCAGGATCTACCCTTCAAACCGAAGTACCTTGTTACTTTCACTGTCGGAATTTCGCAGAAAGAGAACATAAATAGGGCAGTCAAGAAGGTAATTCTTGAAAATTGAACTATATACACATGTATTTTTAGAGAACTTGAAAACTAAGCTATAAGACACCTTTGAAAGTACTGCCACACCCAAAGGTTGTATAGTCAAACAACCGCTGTTTCTTTTCTTGTACAGCGCATGTTTGTGTCATTGGACACTTTACTTTGTATTTAATTTAAACACACCATGAAATTGTAACTTGTCAATTGCCTAATCTTTTATTTTTCTGCTGTTGCAGTTTTCTGATAATTTTGCTATCCTGTTATTTCACTATGATGGTCGGGTGAGTGAATGGGATGAATTTGAGTGGTCAAAGCGAGCTATACATGTTAGTGTACGGAGGCAAGCGAAATGGTACACTCTGCTCCTTTGATATCCTTTATAATTGTCTAAATTGGAAGGTGATTCTAAAGATACTGTTTTGTTTAAATTGTAGGTGGTATGCCAAAAGATTCTTACACCCTGATATCGTGGCATCTTATGAGTACATATTTATCTGGGACGAGGATCTTGGAGTTGAGCATTTTAACGCAGAGGAGTATGCTTTCGATCTTCATTGAACAATTTCTCAATTGCAGATTTCTGGTGATTCTGCTGACAGGATTTACAATGCAGGTACATTAAACTTGTCAAGAAATATCAGCTAGAAATCTCACAACCTGGTTTAGAGCCAGATCGGGGATTGACATGGCAGATGACCAAAAGAAGAGGGGATCACCAGGTTCACAAGTAAGTGGAAGAACTTTCATCTGTAGCTATAGCTGTATGGTTTGTGTCCCTTACAAACATGCATTTTTTTATAATGCATAGTGATTAGTAAGGTTGAGACATCATTTGATCTATGCTCCTAAAAATGTGCTTGTAACAAGGATTCAGAATTTGAAGTCTTGAGCAAGGCAAAAAAAAAAAAAAGCCCACTTACTGATCAATAGAACTTCATTTCTTTCCCTTTATAATCTCATAAAGTTATGTTGTGGATTCGTTTTTACAGGGAGACAGAGGAGAGACCAGGCTGGTGCACTGACCCTCATCTTCCACCTTGTGCTGCGTATGTAGCTTCCTCCTCTACTTGGGTAGCTGATGTATGTGAAGAGGGGCTAACTATTTGTGTTTGATGTACAGCTTTGTTGAAATAATGGCCCCGGTGTTCTCCAGAGATGCATGGAGATGTGTATGGCATATGATTCAGGTATGACATAATTTTCATAGGTACCAGATTTCCATTATCTGCCCACCTCTTCACATGGTTGATTTTTTTTTTAGAGAAGGGTATTTTTTACCCGGCCTCTATATCCAACCGGATATATGCAGCCATTTTAATTTAGGAACTTAGCCTATCAAACAGGGAACTTAGCCCTCAAATAACCCAATCCGAAATTCGCTCCTATGGGGATTTGAACTCAGGACCTTGGGGTGCTACACATCTTCACATGGTTGATGATCTTATCGGTTTTGCAGAATGACTTGGTTCATGGATGGGGTCTTGATTTCGCTCTCAGAAGATGTGTAGATGTATGCAGCACACATACTTGTCTACGGCTTTTGCCCATATCATTTCCATCTGTCTGGCTGATTATTTTAATCTTTGCAGCCTGCACATGAGAAAATCGGTGTCGTTGATTCCCAATGGATTGTACATCAAGTGGTTCCTTCTCTTGGGAACCAGGTAAGGATCAAAAGAATCACATCTATAGAGAACGAGATGCCCGGAAAAGTTTGTGCTTAATGTCTTTGTCTTTTGTTGAAAATTCACAGGGGCAGTCAGAGCACGGGAGGGCACCGTGGGAAGGGGTAGGCATCCAACAACATTCTTTTATCGAATCGTCTTCCTTGCAGGGTTGTGCATAAATGCTTGTTACTGAGCTTTGTTGTTGTTCTATTTCAGGTAAGGGAACGTTGTCGGAAAGAATGGGGAATTTTCCAGACGAGAATTGCGGAGGCAGAGAAGTCATATTACGAGATGATGGGCGTCCCCCCACCAAACGTAACATTTGTCCACTAGGCTACTATACATTACCTGCTGTTAATCCGCTCACCTATTTTTTAGCCCCAATACAATAGTAGCACTTGTGTAGAGAGCTAAGCTAGATATGATGATGGTGATATTCATGATACGTGTAGAGCATACGAAACGTCATATCTATCTATTAATTCCATTTTTTCTGTTTGATCTCCTTGCTGTGCTGTGCTATGCTATTTTCATGAGTTGTCACAGCCCTCCTCACTGTTTCTACTTTATTTTTTTTCCCTCCATGCTGTGTTCTTATTATTATTATAGCTTAATATTATATAGTGTGACCACAACCAGAAGCATTGTCTAGTCGTCCTCATAACTGGAAGATGCTATCGAGTCAACTGGAACAGACGATTCCTGCAATGGAGTTCTTTTTAATGTAATTATGTATCCAGGTATTAGTATGGGATATGGCATATTCTCCTGCCAGATGTATAATAATTCATATGACAAACTTGGAGCCAAAGTATGCAAGCATTCATCTACTAGAATATTACATGGTATAGATTATATATCTGTGAGCCAGGGGATGTTGCGCATACATGACTGATACATCTGCGCTCACAAAACACAAAACATAAATAAAACTTGCTAAGTAACACTAGACAACAAATTAAAGAATTGTCGACATGATTATCTCCTTGACAAACTCGATTCTTTGCAACCTTTCCTTGAGTTCCAGCTTGGATGCATCATCAGTCAGAGTCACACGCTGACTCAACCTGCAACAAGAATGCATCATCAGTTACTTGGCATTCATAACCAGTATTCCAGTAACACCAAGTTCTAAACTACTGAACGATGAACAGAAATCTTTATTTACCTCTGATCATGTGAGACTGCTGAAACTGCAATTTCAGTGTTTGTGTTATCCGAGTTAGTGTCAGTTTGAGCCATGCTGCAGATAAATTGGGAGAGCAGTGGATCAGGTGCAGGATCTTGGTATGTCCTGTTGTTCATCATATACTGTGGAGGCCCCTCAAAGTAGGGGTCTGAATTGTTGGAGGGTGTAGGCCATGAGCTGCTGGGCCTAGAAGGTTTCCTTCTCTGCCATGTTCAGATTTATGTTTGATCAGATGATGAAGTGAATGATTCATTGTGCTTATAATATACTGGCATTGGTTCTCAAGTAGTAGGATTAGTGGTACCTTGAGAAGATGTGAGTGTTGAACTCTGAAATGGGCACCCATGTCTCTCCCTATATTGTCGGCGCACAACGGGCACACCTGAATTCCATGAACATCGACTCAGCTTCAGAATGGACAGCAAGTTCATAAAATTGACTTGTTTACCATTTGTTTAGGAACAAGTTTAGCATGGAACTTTATCTAATTTGTGTATATTCCACATTTGTAGTATGAACGAGTAATTGTCTCATATGTCAGTAACTTATGCTAAGTTTCTTGAAATTGTTAACACAAGTTCTTGTTAAGCAACAATAATTTCATCCAGAGATTACTTCACAAAAGTCCTTTTCTATGAGAGGAAATTAGGGTCAGTTCCTTGAAATGTGTTAATATAAATACAGCATCATGTTAGGACTTGGGAGTCTCTAGAAGATTGCTTACTCACGGGCCCTATAACTCCAGATTTGCTAAGTGGTCCAAGAAAGCTATTATTGTTCCCTTGCATATACAGGTACTATCTCATAATTGAAGATGCATATACATCATGAGCAACTGGTTAGATTAAGACTAGGCTTTGATTAATGAAAGCTGGTTTTTGCATATTAGTCCATCCAAAAAACAACCTACAGAGAGAAATAGAACAAGTTGAGAGGTAGGCTCTCTTACAGCATTTCTGGTGTCAAAGCAATGCTCTTCCTGAAGATGGTTGCAGATGAAGGGCACCTCAACCTCGATGTAACAGAAAGGGCATGGAAAGTACTCCCACAATTCGCCTTCCTCTGAATCAAATAAGAAGAAACCAGTTAAAAATGTTGTAAGTCAAGTCATCATTAATCAAACTTATTTTTTCTTTTATGCTAGTCCTTGAATTGAAGAAAAAGGCCAGGTGTTCAGCTTTCTTCTCAATCTTGCAATGATTCCCATAAGTCAAGGTAAACGAGAAGGCAAGAAAGAAGCGCATTTTTTTTGGTTGTATCTGAAGACCAAGCCAATGCTTCTAAATGCTTGCAAACAACCACAAAATAGTGACAGAAAACTCAAGGAAAAAGGTGCATAGAAATTCATTGACAAACATAGCTATACTCTTCAAGAAAGGCCAGGAAAATACATGAAGCTGTTACAGCACGATATAGATGCAAAGAACTGTCTGATAGCAAATTTGACTGAAGAGATGAAGCAATAAGCAGAAACTATTCATTCAAGGACTGAAGGAACAAGAAGTAAAAGTGCCACAAGAAGACATGAATCTGTTACAGCACAATACAGATGCAGAGAACAATCTGATAGCAAATTTAGCTGAAGAGAGGAAGCAATAAGCAGAAACTATTCATCCAAGAACTGTAGGAACAAGAAGTAGAAGTGCCACAAGAACGCATGGTTTGCATCCATGGATCAAGCAAGCATACCTGCAGGGTGGGGAGGAGGTGGTGCATAAGGCTGGTGCCTGCCTGAAGGAAGGAAGCCATAGCTGTAGGAAGCCTCAACCTCCATGGCTGAACCTGAACTCCACTGCTTCCCTTCTCTGCTAACCACTCTAGCTACAAGGCAGGTGTGAGAACAGCTATGCTTTGCAACTGAAAGGCAGCAAGTGAAACACAGAGTGAGTGGAGTTGCTCTCCTTAGCCTCTTCCCTGCATATATATGGCTCCCAAGAGTATCCTATTCTGTCCACACAAAAAAATGTTATGTATTATTGGTGGCTTAAAGAAAGAGAAGATAAAAGAAATTGCATAAAGGAGACTAGCTGATGACTAGGTATATAGAGAAAAAGAAAAGCTCATGGCTGCGTGCGGTGCAAGGAATTGTCTTCCCTACGAAGGAGTTGTTTTCATGAATTCAGCCAAAAACAATGACAGCTGATTCGACCACTGACCCAAAAAGGGATTACAATCGGACGGTCACCGAATAATGATTTTGTTGTTTACACAGATTAAGGGATATTTAGCATGGCACGAAACTCTGATCAGATAAATTATAAGAACCGACTTAATCTTAATCTCTCTTGTTATATGTAGCTCATAACAACTTTCTTGGATTTCACATGCCAAGTAGGATCTTACTTGCATTTGTCTCCCACATGGCTCAACAGTTCAGTTCCGTCCTATTGTCCCAAAGTGCAGCAGGTTGCTTTGGATGGGCATATCATCAAGGAATTGATACTAAAATTTGTTTACAAGACTGATGAATATATTAACAGCTAAGTACCAAAAGGAGAAGACGATGAATTCTTCTTGCCACAATTGAGTTAATTAATGTGATGAATACTACTAGAGATGCAGTGTGTAGTGAGTATCTTTCCAGTCAGCAATCGAGCGTGAAAGCTACCCGTGCGTGGTGTATGGTTGTTGGTGGAAGCCAGCCATCTCATGAGATGATATGGAGTTATTGTTATTCCTCAATGTACTCACTCGATCGATCGACTTTATGCGCAGAAAGCTACTGCCTCTGGACTTTGCAGCCACTCCAGCCCTGTAGAGAATTAAAAAGGAAGCAGCTGTGGCCACTCGATTCAATTGAAGAGACAGTGATGTTGCATTGCATCTGCTAGTGTGCTAGTGCTCTCTCTTTAATTTTTTGCTCTTCATACTCTTGCAAGGAGAAAGTTTTATGTAGTTGCTGGACACCTTTTTGTCTGAATAATGATCTGCCTCATAGGCCCACTGTTAATCTTTCTGATTTGTCTTATTGTTGTGGCATATATTACTCTTGAGATTTCATTAGATCTTATCCACTAATTGTACTACCTGTTTTCAGCTGCAGATATTTATTTACTCAACATATATAGCACAAGAGGGGATTTATCTGTGTTTCAGTGTCAAGACGATCATCTTTTTGATGTAACTGTGCATATTTTCAGGTTTCCACTGTTTCAGATCATCCATCTGTTTGAGCTGTGCCATTAATTCCTCGAAGTCTGGGCAATGAGAGCATCCATTGAAGATATGGTGTGCTTGATCTTCACTCAAAGATCAGAAAAAAGTACTTAATCAAGAAAAGGATGGACAAAGAATGAGCAGCAAACTATCCAGGAATTATGCAGAGAGCTACATGTGGAGTATAGTATTATTTCTGCCAAGATTCCTGCCATCTTCTGGACAATATTATAATACAGATCAAACTCGATGCACAAAGTACAAAATCCACAATAAACATAGTTTAATGATGCGTAGCTTTCCCAGTGCAATGCGAATTGTCCTCCTTGAATCAAAGAAGAAAATTTAAAAAGAATGCCATGTTGTCCAGTCACTTGACAGAGAAAGCATGGATGGACATGGACTCGTGTTGTCCTTGGTTAGAATAAGCAGTGAACCAACTTAGTCGGTCATGCTAATGCTAATGCTAATTGCTGTCCCATTACATTCTCATCACTTCACTTGTGGCAAACTCCAACCTCTCAACCTAACACCACTGTTCACTGCATGCATCCTTCTACCTAAGAAAGCGCCATGCCTAGCTCTGCTTTCTTCTTTTAATCACGTAGCTTCAATCAATCTCTCGCTTATTAGCTGGATGTCACAAATTTGGACTCAATTTTCCAAAATTCCCAAAATTTCAGGTATATTGGTGGCTCTTGATAGTTAATAGGGTGTGCTCATGTAGGAGTAAAATTACCAAAAGGATATTCAAATTCAGTGAAAAGTTGTTCAAATTTCAAAATTTTCAGTTCCAAATTTCTCCCCCTCAAGGGAAAAAAAGATAATCTGTTTTGCATTCCAAAACATGGAACCCTGCTTCTGGTCCACTGATCTGAGGATGGTCTTTGTAAACTTTTTGACAGACTTGTTCTTAGATTCGACAGGTGTATAAGCCTAGTGGATGACAGTGCTCTGATCCTTTTTACAGACAAGAGAAAGGAAAGAAAAAAGTAATATTTCTCAGAAAAGTGCCTTTTCTCCTCTGATATTAAGAAATTGGGTAGCAAGTGACCTGCTGTTGAGTCAGCTCAGTTAGTTCTCTCCATTTTAGATCAATTCATACCACCACCTTTTCTTCTCGGCGTGTAATATATGTTTCTTCTTCAGAAAAAGGATTACAGCGACAGATGTAGGTTTGGTTTTGTTTAGTGGGTTAGAAGCCAATGAGAGCATGATATTAGTGGAGAAGGAGATGATTGATTGCTTTTCCTAAATCCTAACCATGATGCTGTTCTTGTCTGTACTACTGCAACTAGGAACCTCTCCTTTCTTTCTTCTTTGTTTCCTTTCTGCCTCCATGAAAAATACGCATGCTATGCTACTCCTTTTCCTTAGACTTTTGATTTCCTTTTGTTTCCATTAGTTGGCCAATGGGACCATATATCAATTATGCTGACAAGACAATCCATCTGTCCTTTTTTCAGAACCGAACAATCCATTTTGTTCTGCAACTGTTCTTGCAACACTGGAGAACTATATCTTTCTTTAGTTATCCTCTGAAGATGTATCATATAAAAACAAAACTGCTTTGTGTTGACCATAGCTAGAACATTTTTTTGTTCCAAGATCGGACCGAATAAATCACGTCTGAAACCAACAAATTATATCAAAAAACGCACGAATTTACACGAATATCATTGACTGATGATCGTGGTGAGAATTTCTTCAGAAAGCCGTTTTTTTCCGAAAATGAGAAATGTCTATCCAAGTTCCAACTGTGCCAAAAGGCCCAAGTTCATCCTAGTGGCTTTACATTGGGCCTAAGGTCCAATGAAGATTCTGTTGATGGGCCCATTGTGAGAGGCCCAGCCCATCTTGATGGCTCCACCTCCACCTGCCTTCTTCTTCCCCATTTCGTCGAGCACCTTGAGTAACCAAAAGCCCTAGAGAAACCCCAACTGAGAGAGAGATGGCGCCGCCGCCGCCGCCCACCGCCTTCTCCCGCCTCCGCCGCCTCTTCTCCACCGCCGCCGCCACCGCCACCGCCCCGACCCCGGAATCCGTCCTCTACTCCCTCCGCACCCTCTCCAAGGACCCCTCCGTCGCGCTCGCCTTCTTCCGCCGCTCCCAGGCCGGCGGCCACCCGCTGGGATCCGCCGCCTACAACCTCATGCTCCGCACCCTCGCCTCCCACCCCACCTCCGCGCACTCCCACTTCTGGCCCTTCCTCCGCGACATGAACGACGCCGGCCACTCCATCGACCAGGGCACCTACCTCGCCGCCCTCGCCTCCTTCAAGAAGGCCAGCCTCACCGCCGACTACGCCTCCCTCACCGCCCACTACGCCAAGGCCCAGGAGGACGCCAAGGGTGGGACCCCCACCTCCGCCGCCGCCGACGCCGTCCGTGCCCTCGAGGATGGCTCGGATTCGGATGCTAGCGCGGAGCTCGACGAGAAGCTGGAGGGCGTCGACCTGCCGCTAACGGAGACCGCCGTGGCCAGGGTGCTCCGGGAGGTGAGGGACCATCCGATCAAGGCTCTAGCCTTCTTCAGGTGGGCGGGGCGTCAGATTGGGTACAAGCACGGTTCGGTGTCTTACAATGCCATGGTGAGGGTGCTCGGGCGAGAGGAGTCCATGCGGGAGTTCTGGGACCTCATCCAAGAGATGAAGGCCGACGGGATTCATGTCGATATCGACACCTATGTGAAGCTCTCGAGGCAGTTCCAGAAGCGCCACATGCTCACGGAGGCCGTGGAGCTCTATGAGCTCATGATGGATGGTCCTTACAAGCCATCGAAGCAGGATGGTCCGGTGCTCATCAGGCGCATTGCTCTGGGGCCTTCGCCGGACCTTGAGCTGGTCTATCGTGTGGTTAGGAAGTTCGAGGCGGTGTGGGAGTTCAAGACTAAGGATGTTTTTGATGGCATCCATAGGGCGCTGACGAGTAATGGGAGGTTTGATGAGGCTGCCGAGATCGTGAAGAGGATGAAAGGCGAAGGTCATCAGCCAGACAATATTACGTATAGCCAACTGATCTTTGGGCTCTGCAAGGCAAACAGGTTTGATGAAGCTCGCAAAGCGCTTGATGAAATGGAGGCTGAAGGGTGTGTCCCCGACTTAAAGACTTGGACCATGTTGATCCAAGGTCACTGTGCGGCTGGGGAGGTGGAAAAGGCCCTGCAGTACTTCACGGAAATGGTTGAGAAGAATTTGGAGGCAGATGCGGCTTTGTTGGATGTAATGGTGAAAGGTCTCTGTAGCGATGATAAGATTGATGCGTCGTATGCTTTCTTTGTTGAGATGGTAGACAAGGCCAACTTGAGCCCTTGGCAAGGCACTTACAAGCATATAATTGGTGAATTGCTGAGGGTAAAGAAACTTGAGGAGGCTCTGGGTCTCCTGAGATCAATGAAAGCACGCAAGTTCCCACCTTTTGCAGACCCATTCCCTACTCACATCGCCAAGTACGGGACATTTGATGATGCAAGGCAGTTTCTCAAGGCCTTGACGGTGAATAACAAGTACCCATCACCCACTGCCTATCTGCATGTTTTCAAGTCATTTTTCACAGAGGGAAGATATTCAGAAGCTCAGGATTTACTGTATAAATGCCCTTTCCATATCCGCAAGCATCCTGATGTCACCGAGTTGTTTGAATCAATAAAAGTTGAAAGTGAGAGTGCGGCTTGATGAAGTGCAAGAAATTATTGGTGAGATTACGGCAAGCACCTACCTTTTTATACTCACTAGATGTTGTTTAGTAATCATGGTGTGATAGTTGCCACATCTAAAGGATATTTTTGCTGAATTAACTTTCCTGTGCCACACTTGTTTCTTTTACTGTTGACAGTATCATTGCAGCTACATAGATGGCCTTTCCTAAAGTTACCATTCAAATTAAAGCACATCTGCACATTTTTTTGGTGAACGTACATTGGAAATTCTTCCAGTAATACTACTATAGTACCAGTAATGTTGCCTGCACATATTAAGAGAGGTCGATACCACCGTTCCATGAGCAGAAAATACCAGAAAGAATATGTTATTTCTGTATTTGTTATTAGATGTCGTTATTCAAAAGAAAAGCCGGGACAAAAAGGTATGGCTTATATTTGACCAGTAATTGGCCACTTCTAGCCAAGTCTGGAGATTTTTTTTTTTTTTTTGGAAAAGCAGAATTTGAATCCTTGCCTCAACTATCGTTAGCGATAAAAACTCCATAGTTTGCTGCCAAACTATGCCATAATGCTATAGTCTTTTTTTCGAAGCTCTGCCTTTGTAGTAATACTTGATAATTGATAGATTATACTGCAGGATACAACACCAAATATCAAATGGTGTTATATCATTCCTTGGTGTTCAGTGATGACATCAATTAGCACCACATACACGATGAGTCGATGATGCTATATAATCCCTTATCAGAGGGAAAAACTCTTGACTTATGTCAGTGGCTATGTTATAATCACATTATTTCCTACTCACAAGCCTTTGGTTCCTACAACATGCTTGTGAAAGTTATTTTGTCAGCATAATTATTTTTCTAAGTTATATGCAGCTATGGTCTAGCATTAATTTGGGATTGCAATCGCACCTTTTTTTATTCCTTTTTGGGATAAAACACCTTGTTGATCGATTTTGCATTGTAACTTAAAGGAGAAATCAGGAACTTAATGGTCCATAGGTTTGCTTCCTCTTAGCTGGTTAGAGAAGATTAATATGTCAGGAAATCTATTTTCTTTTACATTAGGACGAACAAAGGTTCCTCAAAAGCGTCTGACTCCTTTGTTGTCTGATGTGCATCAATACCCACTTGTAGCCATGAGGGCTTGCGTGCTATGTTGTTCTTGACAGGGTTTGGCAAAAGTGGTTGACCTGGTTCTGTTCGCTGCTTTTAACTTTGTAACTTTTCAAATAGAAATATGTCGGAACGATAATAGTATAAATAAAATGCCCTCATATTCACAAAAAAAGGTATGCTGTACATCCTGCTGCAAACAATAGTAGTCTAGTTCCACATTGCAATATTAACAATTTAAAATATGGTCATGTTAACATAAAAGGTATCACATACATTTGTGCGGGCGTGCGGCAAATAATAGTACAGACACAATACTTTCTTATTCATATATTGCAAATAGCAATACCATAGTAGCACAACTTGGCGATAGCCATGGCTCTTTCAAGCAACATGTCTTATTCAAACCAGAGCCTATGTAGTGAAGACGCATAAGTGGAGAATACCATACTATTGGAACCGCATTTAAGAAGGTTGATACATGCTTGCGCTCTTCTGCAGTGCCCAAGCCCTGTGCTTGAGCTTGATGAAGTCTGAAGCTACTGAATCTACATCCTTGTTCTTGTCATCTTTCATCCTTTGGTCATGCACCAACTTCTCATTTGTTCCTATTGGTACTTCCTTCATAATATTGGCTTGGTTATCCTGAAATCTGACCTTTCTTTGGGCTTGGAAATAGAGGACCTGATTATGAGAGTGAGACATTGTTGCCTGGCTCCTTGTAAAGGTATTGAGGAAGTGTAGGAAGGGATGGAACTGGTTTGCGGAAGCTATGTTTTCTTGTCCTCTTTTATAGGCGAAGGAGGATGTGCATTTTTGGAGGATAAGCGAGAATCTTATTCCCTACCTCTGACAAATTTGAACGAATCTTATTTGTTTCATCTTGTTGTCTTTCTTCATTCAAATTTGTTAGGCAGCACACGACCTAACCGTCATCTCTTGCATAATTTGGCTACCTAGACTTTAACTAAAGCTAAGTTCCATGGGCAGTTTCTTCTTATCACTTGCAGTAGAAATCATTGAGTTGTTTTCTCCCTTTGACAATAATAATAGCTACCTTCAATCATGTGCTGACCTGGGACCAAGTGTGTGCAATGTTTTTCGTTTTCTGTTAAGTGTGACAATATTAAGAAATCCCAGGCATGTTATGTTTGTTAATTTCAGTGGAAATTAAGTGAACAATATTTTGTCCTTTCTTACCCACAGAAACTTTGATTCCTTTTTTTTTTTTACTGAACCACTGTGGGGAGGAGCCCCAAAGTATAACTTTGATTCATCTTACTAGACATTGTGTAATGTTGTGCCGCAGCATGAATAAAAACAGCTAGAAACTTTTTCTGAAATGTTACTTAGCGTTATTAGATGGTCACATGAATTTGAGGCAATGCTCTAAAGGTTTTGAAATATAATCTGAACAATTTTGGATCCATCTGTAGATGCTGCAAGTAGTATTCTGGTACATGTAACACGTTTCCACTAACTGAAAAGTTATCATCATGCATATGATACCCTGATATTTCTTTCTTTTGAAACGAACTATTCGATGCCTTTTCCCTTACTTGAAAAAAAAAACTATTGGTTGCTTTTCCTTGTCTTGGTCATCTTTTCACGTGCGTGGTTCAATAACCTGTTCTTTCGTTTATTTGCAGAGTTGCTCGAGCGATGGATTTTCAGCAGAGGCAGAGGGCAAAAACTGTGGCTGAATGTGATGGCAGCTTAGATTGGATGGATAGATTCCCAGCTGGGTCAGTTCAAGCACTCCATGCTTGACGGAGTTTGGCAAGACAAAGATTGGTAACAGAGAGCAGCGATATGATGATTATATGCTCAAGATATTTGGTCTTTGAAGATGCTCCTCGCACTCTGCCAACAATAATACATGCCGAATATTATCGCATAGGCATCTTCATGTACCGGCACATATCTTTCATGTACCAGCATCCCCATCAGTTTCGTCAACATTTCTTTCCAGGCACCGACTTTTATTACAGGTTGCTGCCTGCCTTCTTTTCTTCCCCACATCTCCTTTTGCAGTTTTGCTTAGCTACTGCCTGTTGGTTCGCTACCTCTGTCTGTCTGATTGCTGTGTCTTGGGTAATGCTGAAACAATTTCCATATATAATACATTACAGAAAATATTTGTTACAGCTTGTAAAATTCCTTACTTATCTAGCCTTCTATGACCTTAAAAAAAAATCCCGAATCAACTTTTATTTATTGGAAATGAAAGGAATAAAAAGTACGAATTTTTTTCATTTTTAGATTTTTTTTAAATATTTACAGAAATAATCTATCGGCCAAAAAAAATTACAAAAATAGACCCTGCCGCCCGCCTCTGGGGCGGCAAGCTGACGTGGCAAACGGGAGAGGGACGGGCGGTGACGGAGGGAGGGTTTTTTTGCAGGAAAGCCCTTGCCACCCTCTGGTGGGGCGGCAAGGGGCCCGAATGCAAAAAAAGCCAGTCGGGGCCGGCCATTTTGCAGGCGGCCCCTTGCCGCCCTCTTGCCGGGTGGCAGGCCTCGCTGCCTATAAAAGGCCTGCCGCCCAGCCCCCAGCCCTCATTCCTCCCCCCTCAAATCCAGTGAAAAAAAAAAGAAGAAAGGGGAGGAGAAGAGAAGAAGGGGCGAAGCCCTGTCGGATTCAGACGCCGATTTCAGGTAATATTCATAGATCCTATATGTGACTATTGAGTTAAATAGTGTGTATTTTTTAAAACTTTGTTTGAATAAATGCATTATATTTTTAGGGTTTTAGTTGTATTAATCTAGAAGTGCGTATTGTAGATATCGGTAACTACGTAGATCTGCTAGTTTGGAATCAATACATTACCGTTGCATTGGCATATACAAGAAGATATTACGTTGTAGATGTTTATTGCATGAAAGAGTAATATGATCTAGTTATTTCGTTGACAGATATGTCAAACAAACAAATATTCCAAGTTTACCATGGACCAGGAAACATCCGTTACGGGCCAATTGGGGTAGATCTGTCAGATTGTATTGTATCAGAAAGGGGAATTGATAGACCGGCTAAGAGGAGTGTACCTTCTATAAAAGGATGGTTAATGAGGGGCTTGAGAGTTGATCCACAGACAAGTGACATAACAATCAATGTTATAGTAAGTCGGGCAACTGAGGGTTTTTATTGGGAATTAATGCCAGTTCAAAACTCTCGAGTGTGGAGATGGTATGTGGAAAATGCATTGCAACGTGGGTGGCCTCTAGCTATGGTTCCGTTTGTTCACTCGAAGGATCCAGGTGTGCAGATGAACATGGATGATGGCGAGGGACCAAGTGCTGAAGTAAATGAGACTTCTGTGGAGGAGGTCAACACACGAGAGGACGGGGGCGTAGTAGCTCCAGTGGGCATTCAACCAGGTGGAGTGGCCGACGAGGGGAAGACTGTCGGTGCCATTGTGGATGAAATGGAGAGGGAGGATTCTGACAACGAGCGTGTAGAGGAAGGTGATTCGTCAGATGATGAGACGGATATTAATCCAGCAGAATGGGCTAGTGAGGATTTTTCTAGGCTGGTCGTCTCTAAAGAGGATAGTGTGAGATGGGAGTACAAAGAAAATGAGGTTATTTAGGGAGCGATTTATAGTAGAGCAGAAGATATGAAGGAGGCGGTAAAACATTTTGCAGTGTCACTTCATAGAAAGTTTTGGGTTGCCAAGTCCAACCGGTCGCAATATGAAGTTCGGTGTGTTAAGGAAAAAGATGGTTGTCCCTGGAGAGTGCACGCGTATAAGGGGAAATGGAAGGATTATTGGACAGTGTCAGTCGTTACCAAGCATACATGTTTTCTACCTGGTGTTTAGAAATACCACAGGAACATTACATGTGCATTTGTTGCATCTGAGATGTATGCGCATGTCATCGATAATCTCACATATGAACCAAGGTCAATAATCCGACACATCGAAGAGACATACAAGTATACTATTAGCTATGCCAAGGCTTAGAGGGCCAAACAGAAAATAATAGAGATGAGATTTGGAACTTACGAAGCCTCGTATGACAATTTGCCACGCCTGCTTGGTGTTATCGAGGAAAGAAACCCTGGGAGCTCTTACGAAGTGAAGAAATTCCCCTCAATTGAATATCCTGGCAAGAGTGTGCTACAAAGGGCGTTCTTAGCTCTACAAGCATGCAAGATGGCATTCGTGAACTGTCGTCCTGTTCTCTGCATTGATGGGACATTCTTGACAGGAAAGTATCGGGGCCAGATACTAACAGCAATAGGGGTAGATGGGAACAATCAGGTATTGCCCTTGGCATTTGCTTTTGTTGAGAGTGAGAATACCGACAGCTGGTACTGGTTCCTGAAATTGGTTAAAACAAAAGTTGTTGGTATGAGGCCAAATGTGTGCCTGATACATGATAGGCACGCTGGCATTCTGCGAGCGATAGAAGAGTTGCAGTTTGGGAGTATGGAACGAGGATACCCTGGTGTTTGGGAAGATGTACAGAGTAGGTGGTGCATGCGTCATATGGGAGCTAATTTCTTCAAGCAATTCAAGAACAAGGAGCTCATGAACATGTTCAAGAGGCTATGCAATCAGAACCAGGAGAAAAAATTCAATGAGCTTTGGAAGAGATTAGATGAATTGACAGCCAAATGCAGTGATCAGCGTGCAGCGGCTCCATCGACCGCCGTTGCTGACCCTCCTCAAGCTCTTGGACCTCTCCCAACGGATAGTCCAACATTGGTTAGAAGAACTGGATTGGAGATTTGGAAATTTTCTCAGTGGATTCTGCATGAACCAAAAGAGAAATAGGCCAAGGCGTATGACACAAGTGGTGCTAGATATGGAATAATGACAACAAATTTGGCAGAAGTTTACAACTGGGTGATGCGTGGTGTCCGTGGACTGCCACTAGTTGGCATAGTGGAGTTCATTTTACATGGGACATGCAGGTATTTTAGGGATCGGTTCCAGGCAGTTCTTCCCTCTATGCCGAACAACAGCATTTTGTTTGGAACTTTCATGCAGAAAAAGCTAGAGGAGTTGCGTAAAAAGGCCATGAAACATCGAGCTCTAGTGCAAGGTACCTAACAACACAGGTTTGAGATACTATGTCAAGATAAGGCAGGCAGGGGTATCTACCGCAAGAGAGTGAAGCAGGAGTGTGTTCTCAAAGCCGACGGCACATGTCATTGCTCTTGTGCAAAGCCGAAGCTGCTCCACAGGCCATGCACCCATGTCATTGCTGCCGCAGCGGAGTGTGGCATACCAGATACAGTATATGTGTCACAGTACTTCAGTAAGCAAGCAATATATCATACATGGAGCGGCGAGATTTATGGGTTCGGCATAGCTGGGGAGTTCACAGAGACTAACGATGAAGTACTCAATATTCCTGACCCATCGAAGCTCCGAGGCAAGGCTGGAAGGAGGAGGACTCGTTGCATCCGCAACGATATGGACGAGTCGGAGGCTGGCAGGGTGAAGCGTTGCAGCAAATGCGATGAACGTGGGCACACCTACAAGCATTGTCCTAAAGACAAGGAGAAACCAAGTGCGGCGGAGGTAGGACTATCAGGATCAGCAGCAGATGGAGCTCGCCCTACGGGTGAAGGCACTACCTCCACTCGACCACGTCCTAGGCGTCGTCGTGCCACGTCTGGCTACGTGGTGTAGTTCTTATGTTCTATGTTGGCATGTGGCTTTGCTTGTAATTTGTTTTGAACTTATCGATGTGTTTATGTTTCGTTGTGTAATGTCAGACTTCGGCATGTCATGTCTTTAGGTCTCGTGATGTAACGTCAGACTAAGGCACCTAGTGTCTTTAGGTATGCTGATGTAATGTCGGACTTCGACACGTAATGTTATGTTATGTTATGTTATGTTATCGAACTCTACATATATGTTAAATTGCACGTCATCGTTATGTACCCTTAGTAACGTTTGCTATATTTAAATAGCCTGTACTCTTGTTGTACATAATTATTCTCATGATTTTATTACTATTTCATAATTTTACAAGTTATCTTTTGTTTTACATTACTACTTTTTGAATTGTTCTAACACGAAACACTATATTTTTCAGAGATGGCACGTCAGGATACACCTTAGTTGTTGGACCCCGCGATAGATCACCGACACCGGTCTCACCTTACTGCGGTGCAGGGGGCTCAGCTTGGGATGTTCCGGGCACGGACGTGCGGTGAGCTACTTACGGTTCACGACTCCTTTGTCGAGAGGTACGAACAGTGTATTACTATAAATTAGTTGCGCTGTAATAATTTTTATAATGACATATTAATTTGTTATTGCAGGCTGTGTGAGGTCGGCCTCCTACCGATGTGTCGGCTGGTGGAGGCTGCCGCCGGCGACGCGGACCCGGCCAGACGATGGACTGTGGACCGGTCCCTCCTAGCAGCTTTGGTCGACCGATGGAGGCCAGAGACGCACACTTTTCACTTGCCGTGCTCACTTGCCGTGCGGTGAGGTAGCCCCTACCCTACAGGACGTATCGTACTTGTTGGGGCTACCGCTCACGAGAGACGCTGTTGGGCTAGTGACCACGGGTGTGGACTGGCAGGACGATCTGATGGCACGTTTCGCACTAGTACAGCGCGCACCGCATCTCCCGCTCGAGCCGTTGGCACACCACCGCAACACCGGACCTACGAAGAGGTGGCTGCTTCAGTTCACCGTGAGTGTTTTTGTACCGAAATGACAAGCGTACTACATATTTAGTCCACAGTTAAGGTGCCTAATATTTTATCGAACGCTTGCAGGTCGAGCAGCTACAGGCGGAGGCCGACGAGTACTCCTACAGCCACTGTTTGGAGGCGTACTTGCTCTGGCTTTTTGGCTGGGTGATGTTCTGTGGCGGTCACGGGCACGCGGTCGACAAGGGACTCGTGCACTACGCCAAGAGCATCGCCGACGCCGCGGTAGGCGAGGTGCCTCAGTGGAGCTGGGGTTCCGCGTTGTTGGCGGCTCTGTACCGTGGCCTTTGTGAGGCTTGCACGAAGACGGATCCCAGCACGACCTTTGGTGGGTGCCCTCTCTTTCTTTCTATCTGGGCAGCTGAGAGGATTGCGAGCGGCCGCCCTGAGGTGGACCAGCACGCATACGAGGAGTCACTGTACGCGGAGCGACCAGAGGTCGACTACCCTACGATGGGTACTCTGTGGTGCCGTCGTCAGGTACGTTGCATCGATCTTCTCGTATTGCAGCGCCGATGGGCTCACGTCCAGGTTAGGTGGTCGTATCTTGAGTTTTTTATGGAGTTCGACCGCCTTCTGCCGACTGACGTCGTGTGGGAGCCCTACAGTGCCGCGGCTACCCAGGCTCGTGCGCCGTTGGGTCTGTCCACACTCTGCACCAGGGACCAGACGTACTAGATGACTACGGTTCCGATGGTCTTCGACATCTGAGTTGAGCCTCACGCCCCTTTCCGCGTGATGTGGCAGTTCGGCTTCCGTCAGCCCTTTCCAGTACCGTTTCCGACGACCGTCCCAGCTGCTGTTCACCGGTAAGATCTTTCACTACGCTTTGAGTTGTTGCATTAAAATCTACCTGTCCACAATAATTTGTAACATCTGTCGATTCACACTAATATGACACATTAATTCGCAGGTACTCGCGCAAGGGTCAGCAGTCAGCTGGCGACTGGCCCGCCAAGTTGGCGACTTTTTTTGAGTACTGGTTGCTCGCAACCGAGGAGGTCATGGACCACGAGGGAGAGCCACACACTGAGGAGGCATACCAGGCCTACCTACGCTGGTACCAGCCACGCACCCATACTAGGGTCACCTTCGCTCCCTTGGAGCAGCAGCCCCACGTTGCGAGCACTAGAGACCTCTACGCCAGGCACCGCGACCAGGACATTGCTCGTGCTATGAGTACCCTGCATCGCACCATTCCTTTATGTTTTCATGTCTTTCTCTTCGTCAAATTTTACGAATATGTATGAACAAATTAACCATGCAGGTCGACGACATCAACCGGGTCGTCGTTGACGGTTCAACGACAATCCAACGTTTAGGCGCGGGGATTCCGGTACCCGTAGAGGAGCACTTGACGACGTACACGCGGATGGTGGAGTCGATGCGCTCGATTCTCCGAGTGCGCACGTCGAGTCAGGGTCCACCACTGGACCATGCTGGGACCTCGTCGGACCGCTTGGTGCCATCCACCTTGCTCTTCGACATCACTGACTTCGACTTCGCTTCAGGCTCAACAGATGACGTCATCGGCCCCTCACAGCTGGGAGGCGCACCGCCGGTGCAGACGCAGGACCAGGCGCAGGCCACTCCTCCGCCAGACACTCGTGCTACCCGTGCTGTGCCACCGGATCGTTTCATCTACTCCCAGGACCACGTGCGAGCACAGGCCCGGAGGACCAAGCGTGGTCGCGGCGCGGGGCAGGGCCAGTAGAGCAGTCTTCTTTTTGTTTATTTGCTTCACTTTCTAAAACTGTATGCTTGTGTAATGACTACGTTGTTGTTATATGTGCACGATACCTTTCGGCGCATGCACGATACCTTTCGGCGCATGCACGGCTACTTTCTGCCGCACCGATGCAGCCTCCTTTATTCGCGTGCGATACGAGTATTTGCCCGCCATTTGCCGCATACAACCAATGTAACTTTCGGCGCCGATCAGGCATGTAACTTTCGGCGCCAATCAAGCGTACCCACCATGCCCCACCACGTTCACATGTCAGGGATATCACTCGATTTTTTGCGCCTATATAAGTCGCCTTAACGAGTGAGGCCTCACAATCTTTCAGAACTCAGTCACATTCAGTACTCTCTTCCCCACTTGCTTCATTACAAATCCTACCGGCTTTCGTCAATGGCTAGACGTCGGGGTGTTGAGGATCTGAACTGGCGTAGCGATCCTTGTGTATACCTACTACCACCTTGGTGCCAGCGTCCTCTCTGCCTATGCGGTGATCGATGCCAACTAATGGCTTCGAGGAATCCTGATATTCGAGGAATGCGCTTTTTTAGGTGCCCTAACTATGACCGTGAGGTATTTTATTATCTGCACATGCTTATTCATTCCGTATGGGCAATCGCTTTATTCTTCGTAACACTACTCTATTCGGCAGACGCGCACTACGGCTTGCGCATAAATCGAGTGGGTCGATACAAAAAATCCCGTTCTCGACCTAAGCACTTGTTTACAAGAAGGTCGCTGGTATTTCGCATCCGAAAGTATTGAGCAATACTTACATAGAAAAGCGGCTTATGAACGATAATGTCGTGAACAACAGAGCGACTGTCGGGTGCTAACTACGGCACTCCCTCCATGGGAAGCCCGTCCAAGATGCAGGTGTGGTGATCGTTGTCAGGTTCTCCGTTCCATAAAGCCTACAACATTGGGTCGAAGGTTCTTTGTTTGTCCAAATATTCTTGACGACGATTTCATGGTAAGAATATTTTGATTACATGAATCCTTATTTTCTCACAACATTTACTAACTTTGCTCGCTTTACATCTATTCTTTCCTCCCAGGAACCACCAAGGAGATGTCAATACAGAGAATGGATAGACACCAGAAGGGTTCTAACTCCACCTAGCCGTGTTATGCAGCTTGAACTACCAGAGCAATACAGGGTTACTAAAGCGCGGTTTGAGAGAGGAGAGGGATCCTCACGTAGGGGTTAGCTATTATCGGACAACTTGACATATTGAAATTTCTACTGTCATGCTTCCTTGTCCCATTACTACATTGTCGTTGTGTTCAACTATTGCACTACCTCCCTCCTAGTTCGAATCTAATATCATCTATGTAACCGCAATGGAAATAGTTGTATCATGTTCAAATTGTACTACTATTTCTTCATGTTACATAATTCTCCTTGTTTAAGTCCATATAATGTTTCTACGACCGAGACTGCGATAGGCCTATATTAATTATCCGAGTACTAATACGTCAAATAAGGTACAAAATAATACCTCACTTAACATATGAAATTGCGAAACAACCAACTTCAATACATTTTTATAACAATAATAACAAGTTTTACCAATAAATACTTCTTTATTTATTATTAACATAACATAGAAAAATCTTTTGGCCATACCTTTTGCATATGGGTCCGGCGGCAAGGGACCCAGATGCAAAAAGTACGGCCGCAAGCTCTTTATGGGCGGCAAAAATTGCAATTAGCCCCTTGCCGCCCTCGGGGCTAATTGCAATTTTGGCCGACGGCGGCAGACGGCGCGGTCGACCCGCCGTCTGCCACGTCAGCTTGCCGCCCACCACTGGGGCGGCAGGGTATATTTTTGCAATTTTTTTTGGCCGATAGATTATTTCTGTAAATATTAAAAAAAATCTAAAAACGAAAAAAATTCTAAAAAGTACTACTCTACGTTCCCTTTGTTTTCACTGGTGTACTAGGCTGGCCCATTCGCGGCCCACCTCTTCTAACCATATACTACTACGTTTATTGTTCCTCCTCCCGACGCCGAACGCGATGAAGCGCCGCGTTGCAGGCTGCAGGAGACGTCAGCAGTGACTTATTACTACTACACACTGTGGTTGGTACCTGGTAAAAGAACTCTACTGTACGTACTAATCGCTGTCGAACTATAGTAAGAAGGAAGAGCTACTTAATTGCTATACACATTCGTTTAGTTCTAGACTTTAATTATCTGTATGTATAATATATATATCTATCTTGACGATGCATTATTTGTTAATTTATTATTTCAGGTAAAAAACTACTAGGGCTTCATTCCGGCCGTGAGGAAGGCTATTAGGTAATTAAGCGGTTTGAGATGGAACACGTCAGTCGATGGATCAGACAGCGACGTGCTGCTCTTGCTTGATAATGATCGAGTGGCGTTGTTTGCTTGCTTGCTAGCTTTGCTTAACTGACTGCCTGGTGAATGGCGATGAATCTATTCGCATCACTCGTTCGTCAATTTCAGCTGCTGCTATCTTTCAAAAAAAATCAGCTGCTGCTCTTGTTTGCTGCAAGTTGCATCATCTGTGACCATACAAAAAAGAAAAGCAAAAAAAAAGAAACGGCGGGAAATTGCCAGAGTATTTTACCAGCTGAGCAGAAATTACCGCGCAGTGGTCGTCGCCCTCGTTGTTTACTTTGCTTAATTTGCTTGCCCTCATCCTCATGGCTGCGGCGGCGGCGGCTGCTTCTGCTCCCCGCCTCCTCCTGCCGCCGGCCGCCTCCACCTTCCCACACCAGCACGAGCACGTCCGCCGCAACTGGCACCGGCCCCGCCGCCAGGTCATCTCTGCCCGCGCCGGCGCCTCCGTCGCCGCCCGGGGCCTTGATGCAGACGACTTCCGCCATCCGCTGGACAAGCAGGTGAATTCCCAATTAATTTGCTACTGCCTGCTTCCACTGCTGCAGTGCTTATGATATATCATGCCTACTGTAGTATATATGTAATGTAATACAAGGATTAAGTATGTCCTTCCTGAATGATGATGGATGATTGCTGAGTTTCTCCTTCCTTGGCCTGCAGAACACACTGCTGCTGAGAGCAGTTCCAGGGCTTAATGATATGGGCAAGGCTTTGCTAGGTCACCACCACTTACTCAATAATTCCCCTCTCTTCTTTTCAGCTTTAGTCCCATCCTTAGGTTACCCTTATCAATTACTATTATCATCCTTCACTGATCAATTCCCCTTTTTGTAACTCTTTTAACTTAGCTGAATTAATATTTGCTTCACAGTGTTATTTACTGCTCCATACTGTGCCTTTCTCTTGCTGTTAATCTTTTTTTTTCTTTTTACCTAAATGCTAATGCAGGACCAGTTTCTGAGCAAGTTATGGTACTTCAGAACATTGGATCGTCTGTGCTAGTCTCTGAAAACCAGGTGCGCTTTTCATGTTAATCATTTTTAAGCCATTTTCAATTTCTTAACTTATTATTGCAATAACAGATAACCTCATTGAAAGGGGAAAATAGTTCATCAAAGATAAAAAAAAAGGACAAACCAGTAGTACCGATAGAAAGCCATGAGGCTTAACTTTTCCATGTAAATCATAATATTACTTCCACTATGAATATGGAGTTATTCTAGCAAAAGAGAGGCAGAAGCACGCATAAGACATGCAGACAAATCCATGGATATATTATAAATTACTTTTGTTGGGAAAAAAAAACTTTTTGTAGAACATTGCACAAACAATGAGCATAAGTAACGCTGATATCCAACCATACACTGGTTCTACCATTTCATGTCTTTTATATATCTTATGATTTCTTTTCTTACTCCATTGCGGCATTTACACTTTTGTTTCTTTTCCTCAGCTTTCAGATCTTCATCAGATCTTGACCGAGGCAGCAAAACTATTGAACACAGACGCTCCTGACTTGTACATTCGGCAGAACCCTGTTCCTAATGCTTACACCTTAGCGATCAGTGGCAAAAAGCCATTCATAGTTGTTCATACAAGCCTTGTGGAGCTGCTCACTAGAAAAGAACTGCAGGTAGATACATGACTGTGATCATCAGTAGCTGTGTGTTTATTTATCAGTTAACCCGCTCTCTTCAGTCTTTGCATTGTAAACCATGAAGATATCATATCAGACTATGGTGTTAGTAGTAACTCATGGTGTGAAGATTTGTGTGTTTGGCTAGGCTGTGTTGGCTCATGAACTGGGACACCTCAAGTGTGACCATGGCGTGTGGCTTACATTTGCCAACATACTGACAATGGGAGCATACTCTGTCCCTGGTAAGCTGATCTCCATCTGAATAACTAACCTTAAATTGGGAGTACACTAGTATTAATCCATCAGATGCATGTATTGATCTTACCAGGATTTGGCATGGTTGCTGGGTTTCTGGAAGAGCAGCTCTACAGGTGGCTCCGGGCTGCAGAGCTGACTTGTGATCGAGCGGCTCTTCTTGTAGTGCAGGACCCCAAGGTAATCAAAATCTGAATTGGATTTGTAGCAGTGTACTAGTACTTACTACTCGGTGATGATTAATGTGACTGAACGGGCGTGTTGATTGATTGTCAAGAGGTTGTGATATCTGTGCTGATGAAACTGGCCGGAGGGTGCCCGTCGCTTGCGGACCAGCTGAACGTGGACGCCTTCCTGGAGCAAGCTCGCTCCTACGACAAAGCTGCGTCAAACCCCGTCGGCTGGTACATCCGGTCAGCCAAACAAACATCTTCTTACTCCAGCTGCTGCTTTAACTTGCTGCTACTGCTTGGTGAGATTAATTTGGTGTTTGTCATATGCATATGTGTGTGTGGTGCAGGAACGCTCAGACGAGAGAGCTGTCGCATCCTCTGCCGGTGATGCGAGCCCGCGAGATCGACGAGTGGTCCAGGAGCCGAGAGTACAAGACGGTGCAGCAGAAGGTCATTCAGCTCCAGCTCAATGATCACGATGCAAGCTAGCTAAGCTGCAGGCTGGACCGGCCTGATCAACTCACTTCACTGTACAAGTAGAAGTAGAAATGGAATCTAGCTGTATATGTTTGTACATGGATGGAACGGAACCGAACTGTTGGAGGTCAGATTGTATTCTAGTGAAGAATATGCACACCACAGATATACAAGAAAATGCAAAGATATATTGATTCTTTAATAAGAAAAATAAACTAACTGCTATACACATCTACGATATTATATACATCTGGTGTAATACTATTAAAAGTATATGCACTTTTTTTTAGATTTTTTTTAACATTCGTTAGTTGGTTTATACGAATTAGGTACGTAAAATTTGTGTGTGTAAGATATGTACATGGGTCAAGCCAAGTAGCCAATCCAGTCTAACTTGGACCAACATGAAACGATAATTTAAGCTGCTTAATGTTGTTTCTTTTTTTTGTGTGTGGCGATGTCCTCAGTTAATCTTGTTAGGCCATTTCCAATCTAATGACTAGGATGGTGTCCATAGCTTTAAATAAGCTGTCACCTAGGATGAAAAATGATGTGACAAGTGAATAAATGAGGAAAGATAAGAAAACTAAGTCTTGCATGAGACATGGTTTCTACACAACTTCCAAAATATCATGTGAGAGAAGTAGCACTAAATTTAAATATGGAAAAGTGGTGTTTTCATTGAAAGATTAGTGTCTGGTACTAGTTTCTTGATGATATGCAATTTATGTAAACTATGTCTAGTGTCTTGGGTTAGGATTGGCCTTAGTGCAATAGTGTACTTGGTGATGGAACACAGCTGATGATCTGCCGCAAGCTAATAATAATTAATTAATTAATTAATACAGCTGATAAGTACTCCCCTCCATCCAAAAAAAATTCTATTCCTAGCATCCCGAGGTGGAATTAGTGGAGATGGAGAATGACTAAAATATCCTGGGGCAATTGCATTGCTACCCTCACTTTCGAAGCCAATTGCTGTTTTACCCCCACTTTTTAAGGTTAGCAGTTTTACCCCCACTTTTTAAGGTTTGCAGTTTTACCCCCACTTTTTGAATCTGAATCAGCCGTGTATCCCCACTTCTAACATCCTGTTTTAACAGTGTTAGCAGTAGAAAAAAGGACATTTATACCCTTGGTGGTTATTGCATTTTTGCCCCTGTTTTTTTTTAGCTTTGTATGATTTTGCCCCTATTCTGTGATTTCAGCTTGTGTGATGAGCATTTCGACCAAATATGAGCATCTCTTGTGATGTTTTTGTACTTTAACAAAAAAAAATTCACAAATACTAGGCGATTACAAAATTTGACAAAAATCACAAACACGACGCAAGGTGAGGAACTGCAGCGGCGGCACGAGATAGTCGAGGCGGAGGCGCATCCACCCGGCGTAGGAGGCTGTCGACGGCGAGGAGCGACGCCACCTCCTCAAGGTGCCACCCCTGGAGGTAGGCGGCGACCTCGACGCCTCGCCTGCGGCCGCCTCCGCCTTGCCCGCGGCCGCCGCCGCCGCCTCCGCCTCCGCCTCCGCGCGCGCCAGCGGCCGCCGCCGCCTCCTCCATGGCCGCGTTCTCCGGCTGCGCTTCGCCACTCTCCACCACCCTACGCTCTGGCCTCGCCCCGTTCACGCTGCGCCACCGCCTCCGCCTCCGTCGACTCCGCGCCTCCGCCGCCACCCTCCGCGAGGTCTGCGCCGGCCGCGTCCCGGAGCACGTCCTCCAGAGGTGCTTCCCTCTCTTCCTCGTTCGAGATTTTTTTTTAATTATTTATGCTCATGGGTTTAATTTTCTTCCAGGGCTGAGGAGGTTGGCTATGTCGTCCCTACCGAGGTGCAGGAGCAATCCTTGCCTGTCCTCTTGTCTGGCCAAGACTGCATCCTCCACGCACAGGTGCTGTTCCTCCTCCTCCTCAAGCTTTGCTTACTCTCCTTAGATTGTTTCATGCTGTACAGTGATAGCAATCTGATCTTACTATTGCTGGTTGAATGTAGACGGGTTCTGGAAAGACACTTGCCTATCTATTGTCGGTGTTCTCGGCCATAGATTTTGGGAGATCCTCGGTGCAAGCGCTGGTTGTGGTCCCAACCAGGGAGCTCGGCATGCAGGTGATAAGCTGCTTGGCTGCTTGCTATGCAATTATCTTCCACCTGCCTTGTGCGTCCCTTCTAACTCACCTTGTTGCTGTTATTGTGCCAATGTAAGGTTACCAAAGTTGCTCGAATACTTGCAGCAAAGGCCTGCACCGTTATGGCTTTGCTTGATGGTGGAATGCTAAGGAGGCAAAAGAGTTGGGTAAAGGTATTTTCAGTCTATGCTCAATAGCTAATTCTTCAGTTCCTAGCCCAAAAAGAAAACTGTGATAGTGCTTCAGTTTAATACAGGAGCATTTTAGCCATGCCGTGGTTATGTCCATATCTCCCTTTGATATTAGTTTTCAGGCCTCTTGGTGTAAATGTTGCCAAATTGGTTATACTGATGTACGCACTTCACTTTCTTTTTGTTTCTACTTGACGCATAAAGAGCAGGCTATTTAAATTTCTCTTACCTGTTGTTTGCTTCCCCGCTGACTATATTGATCTATTTCCAGGCAGAGCCCCCGGCTATAATTGTTGCTACTGTTGCAAGCTTGTGCCAAATGATTGAGAAGCGTGCTTTCAGTCTTCAGTCTATGAGAGTATTAGTTATTGATGAGGTGATTCTTGAGTCCTAAATCAAACTTTTTTGCAGTATAAGCTCAGTCTGCTAATGCAATATCTGACTCTGTATATTTGCAAAGAGCCCAAGAGGCTATTTGAAGTTTGGAACTCATTTAGTTGATTTTTTTCAAGACAGAATACCTAATGTACTCATTGCTGTTTGATAGGTTGATTTTATTTTTGGGTCGTCAAAGCAAGTAAGCTCTCTTCGCAAAATATTAACATCTTATTCAGCAGCTTCCAGTCGTCAGACCATATTTGCTAGCGCATCGATTCCTCAGCACAATCGCTTTGTGCATGACTGTGTGCAACATAAGTGGACTAAGGTTGCACTTCTTTATCTATATGGCTTGAACGTACACTATTATTATTGAATGAAAAGATGGACCTTTTTGACCTCATGTTTGCATATTCTGTCTTATCTGTGTGCAGACTGATGTGGTTCATGTTCATGTCAACCCTGTACAACCCATGCCCTCTCACCTCCAGCACAAATATGCGGTGGGCATATAAATTTCTTTTTATGATAATCTTACATTCTAAATGCCTTCAATCATTTCCTACAACTGTGGAACTTAATACCTGTCTTGAACATAGTAAATAGGCGTGTTTCAGTTGGGGCCTAAAACCTAAACCCACAGGCACGGGCATTCCTTGCATAAGCTCATTAAACAGCATGCATGTGATTATGGCAAAAGTTTAGTCCTTTTACAAAGCATTGCACATCTTCTTTTAGTTTTCAGTGATCTCATGAGTCTCTTTTACTTTTCTGTTCCTGAAAAATCTTGCGAGTATGGGTGACTAACCCCCTTGCTCCTGAAAAATATCTTTTGACCTGATTTTTGTTCTTGCTGATTATGGTAATTTTTTAATTAATGTACAGATCTGCAGTAAGAAGGAAAGGTTGCATGTTTTACTATCCTTGCTTGAGAAGGATGCACCAAAGTCAGGGATTATATTTGTTGCTGAACAGGTATTGCTACTTGTGGATTCCATTTACTCCATGGCATGTTGATTATAGTGTTGCTCCAGGGTGATGGGATGTGCCAATTTAGGGGTTAGAAATTATTCTAGAGGGACCAACCGGCCAAGGGACCTCATGATGGACCATTTATGCTATCCTATATGCAAATACAAAATGTTACTTATCATAGATAGTCTTTATCTGCTGGTATGGAATAATTTTCATTTTTGGTACGATTGAAGATTTAATATCTGATTCTGTTTCAATGGGAATCACCAGCTAGTCCATTAGCTGATATTCTTTATTTTTATCGTTCCTATGACTAGCAACAAAACATTTAACAAGACTTTAAAAAAAAATCAAAATGTCCTTTATCATTGTATACCGAAAATGCCGGGGCGATGGAACCTATTAGCATTGTTTGTGTAGGGGTACCGTACACTCCAGCATATAAGGGTATTCTGTACTAGCTTGGTGCTAATGTGCTATGATTAATTACCAGCTCCAGACCATAATATATATACATTAATATTTCTTGAAAACAGTTCTATATTTCATTTACATTACTTCCAATTTTTAAAACCGTATATTCAGCATTCACAGACATTTGTAAGTACTAGCAATTTGGTTTGTTTACTAACTGGGCAGTATCATATGTTTTTCACCAAGGTCTGAGCAATTCTTTTAGAACGAATGAATATTTACTTAACCAGAATAGTAGTGTGGCAACCTCACGTTTGCAGTTTGTTTGTTAACTGTTCAACCTGTTCTGTTAGTCTGAGAAATCAAAGAAGGCTGGACACCCTCCTTCAACTACTGTTGTTGTTGAATTCCTGAGAACTACGTACATGGGAAGCCTAGAGGTCCTTCTACTGGAAGAAGATATGAATTTCAATGCCCGTGCTACATCATTCACCGTTCGTGTTCTCTTTCTATTCTTTCTGACGTTCCCACTATAAAGACATGTTTGATTTTGAAAAATCCATATCTTCACACAAGTATCGATGTTCCTCTGCAGGAGGTCAAGGGAAAAGGCTTTCTTCTAGTTTCCACTGACATAGCAAGCAGAGGGTTTGACCTCCCACAAACCAGCCACATATACAACTTTGACCTTCCCAAGACGGCTATTGACTATCTGCATCGTGCTGGAAGAACTGGGAGAGAACCATTCTCCAAGTTAGCTTGCAGCGTGACAACCCTCATAACAGAGGATGAGCACTTTGTATTACAGAGATTTCAGAATGAACTCAAGTTCCATTGTGAAGAGCTACCTGTAGAATCCATGTTCGCATTTAACTTGTGACGTCCCTCACTGGATGTAAATAGCCATTTCTCTTGATTTCATCCCCCGGTTGGAGGTTTTTCTTTTTTCTGTTTAATCTAGATGAAGAGGTTTGAACAAGTGTCCTGGTTATTTTCCCTCTGGAGAGTGGAGAAAGATGTTGAACGTATTTATATTAAAGCATAAAGTTGTTATGTATCCTTAATCCTTATTCACTGGATTGTAGCTTTTTTAATGGAAATTCCCATTAGTTGCAACAGGGTTATACCCCTGAACTCTTCAATATCCAACCAGCATTGACTCGAAAATAACAGTATCAGGCGATGAACAAGGTAATCTGAACATCCTGTTCAAAGATTTAGAATTCAAATGTTAGGTCTGCCTTCGGCGAGAGCATGATTAGGTACAGAGCACACTCATGTCACACATCACACTCTTCATTATCAACAGAGGAGAGAAATCGGTCCATCACTCAACAGAGAAGAGAGAAATCGATCCATGAGTGATGCGGATGGCAGACAGAAACTATGAACATGATACTCTAGTACTCCTACCATGGAAACTGTTCAGATTCATGATACGAGCCAGGAAAACAGATGCAAGATTATATTTCAGGTGCGCCAGGTCTGCAGCATCAAGAGAAGCAGGATGGGCTCTTCCGCAAATTACTCTTCTTTAGTCTCCAGCAATTTGGAATCGCAGGCCACGATCTTCACCTTGTTTATTGTCTCTGTAATCTCTTCGTTCTTGAAAATTGCATCTGTTAGGATGAAAGTCCACACATTGTCGCAGAACCTGTAGGTGTGCAGATGGCCCTGTGCAGAGAAAAGGGAAAGCCATCACTGGAAATGCAGGCGGTCTGAACTATACATGTGAATACTTTCAAAAGGACTCATGGCAGGAAAGCACAGTCAATGTGCTAAACATAAGAAATCTAATTAAGATATATGTAACACATCGACGGTCTTGAGTGAAGCTATATATTGGCATATACTCATCACTTCGAATGTGTAACCTCAATGCACAATAAATCATACAGAACTTGAATTATTTCCCATAAAGTACAACACAATTGCAAAAGATAATCATGTTACTTCAAAAGCTTTGCAGAAGTAGCCATCTTCGACATACATGACACACAATAAAAGAACAAAATTAATCAATATTATATTCCAGTTATTTGTAGGTTTGTCCAAACAGGAACCATGATTGAAAATGTTGTGCACCGCTACTTGACCTTGATATTTAGAAATTAACATCAGAACATAATCAATCAATATTCCAGTTATTTTCATGGAAATTTGGATTGTCCCAAAAGTGCTTAACTTATTGGTCACAGTCATTCTCACAGAAAGTCTATCGAATTGGTGAGTAGCCTATGAAGCAAGCAGGAATTGCCTTCCCACAAAAGAATACACGGTAGATCTAAAAGAAGACTCCTATGCCACAAACTTAATGACATGCCAACATGACATAGTAATAATGTTATCTATAGACTGCACTCTCAGTACTCATTTGCATTGCATAACTTGGATGTGTGCAAACACCATAGAATGAATTGATGATTAACAAGATAAGTCAACAGTTAGAAAGTTTACTAATTCATAACTAAATAACAACAATACGGCATTCTCATCGATTCCTTTTTTTAAAAAAAAATCTACAGCTATTAATGAAACCTACAGTACAAAAAGAGAATCAATAGAAAGAGCATACCTTGACAGTAACCTTGCTCTTCACCTGATGCTCCAAAGCGCTAGTCATGGACTGAAACAACAAGAACATCCATATATGAAAAACAAGTAATCCACATCCGGCAGCAGTAATGAAGGAGAGGTAGGGGGTTAAGAAACCTTGTCAAACTGCACGAGGACTTGGATGGCGAGCTCGGGGCTGAGCGCCCCACTGGAGACCATGTCGTCCAGCGTGTCGGTGAGGCACATACCGATGGTGGACCTCCGGTACAGCTCGAAGGTGGCCATCGATGATCGAATATCGATCCCCTCCCTCCTGCAGATAGGCAGCCCAGATACATAAAAAGTTTAAGATCGGCATGCAAAGGCTGCGGAAACGAACTAATCAAAATCCTCCGGGTCTGTTTGCCGGCCAGCCGCCGCAAATCAAAATCTAGAAAATTCATCGATGTGATCGTTCGTGCATATACACAAGTATCGCATCCCTCCCTCCCTCTATTTGGTTTGGTTGGGTGCGGTGCGGCCAATCGAATCGAGGGCACAAAATTTCCCTAAAAATTAGATCCCGATCCCAACAAAAAATCGCATGATCGAATCGAACCAAGCACCAGCCGCATACCTGATCTGAGACTGAGAGCGAGAGCGGAGAGGAGGATTGAGGGGAGGAGCAAAGCGCAGCCGCAGAGAGGAATTCGAAATCTGGGGCTTATATACCGATGGAGGCCAGGGGAAGGGAGGAGGGGATTTGGGGATTATATAGGCAGGGGAGGCAGCAGCAAGGATCGACTATGTCGGTGCCAAATGCCGATTTTGCCCCTCCCTCTCCCGTTGACCTGGTCAATGCATACTGCTTTATTTCCTTTTCTTTTTTTTTTCATTTCATTTCATTATTATTCCTTTTCCTTTTTTCCTTTGATTATTATTATTATTATTATTATTATTATTATTATTATTATTATTATTATTATTATTATTATTATTATTATTATTATTCCACGTCATCATTTACCTTTTCATCATATATTATTGTTCTCGCTTGGTTTAGTTACATATAGTCGCTTGGTTTAGTTATACATAGAGAACGTATTTGGCTCTCTTTTGTGTTAATAGAGCGTTTCAGCTTTCAACCTCCAGAAATATATGCCACGTTGTATTGGTTTTTCTTACTAAGCCAGGATGGGTGAAGGTGATGAAGAGCACGATGAATTAAAGCTCACTAGTAATTGACCCGTGCTAACGCTACGGTAATATTTAGTAATGCAAATTAAACTATTAAAGTTTATCATTCTTAAAAAAAAGAATGACAGAGCCAATTACTATATTGTTAATTACATAGCGATGTGAGTAAAATAACATCGTGACTTTTCTATCTTTTGATTTGAAACAATGCAAGCCTATTGTACAACTTCACAATCAGGCATAGACATAGAAGTCTATAGCATCTAATATTTGATATATATCTGGTTTACAATAGAACTTCAGTCTCAAAACATTTCCCTTTTTCATTTGATCACCTGGCCTAAGAGAATTGAGAGTCCAAGAGACCTTGCATCTTCTTTCCCTCAGTAGAACATACATACAGAGCAAAGACATAAGTTGAGTCTGCAGGTGGCTTTGTTGCTCACCCAGTCACCAAGGTCTTCCCACCGATCAGAAAGTACTATAAACTTATTGGATCTGGGAAACAAATTTACATGTGCATTTCAGCCAATTAAATGATCCAAGTACTTAAGTAGACCAAAAATGCAACATGCTTCAGCTTGGTGTCATCTACCTCAAAAGCTAATGGCGGTGAAAGTTTACAAAATAAATTTCCAGTTCACATATAGTACCAAATGATCTGGAACGATTCACTTTGGCAGCACGGGCCACGCCTCAATTGATCAATCGATATTAGCCGCTGCATGTTCGGAATTTCAGATTTTCAGACTTTCAAACCAAAGTTAAGACTTTCATAATTAACTTTTATCAATGAATATTCCAAAGTTTAGACTTTCAGAATCTTAACCATGGTAACTTATAACTTAAACTGTCTTATCATGTGCTTCCATGTATGCCTATTTACATTCTGAAATTTTAACATAGCTATATACATATTCTGAAATATACCATGTGTTGAATGCCTGAATCTGAAACAACAACATTAGTTTTCTGCAAGTATTCATTAAAAAAATATGCAGCAATCTTGTATAATGTACCAAACTACCCAAGCAAGACAAGCAAGATGATGTTGATTTTAGGTTCTGAATTAAGGTAATGTAATAAGAAAAAGAATATATTTCTAAAATTTAATGATTTTCCTCATCAATTTGACTATATCACAAATATACTCCATACATTAATTTTCAAAGCATAGGCATAAAGCTTCAAAATGCAAGCCATAGATAAACACTTAAAGTGCCCAAAGCACAAATTTATTCCATCACATGTCAAAATAGAGATCATTATATTTTCTCTAAATAGAAAATATGGGGTAAATAAATGAATAAAGTTCAGAAGTGAAACAACCCTTGCCAAAGCCCGCCAAACAACTATGCATTCCAACATTGTGTACATTATTGAGCTCAGAACTAACATATGAATTTCAGTCGATATAACACATGAATCTGTCATGTACTGCAAACTGAAATGCTAATTTTGTAACTCCAATCCAATATGAAGAATCGATGTTTGTTGGTGACAAGAACGAAGTGGTATTTAGGCGCAAATATAAACAACTTAACCGGGAGATAAGCAACAACCCAAGCGTAGAACCTATCAGGAATATCCTTAACCTTTAGCTACATCTACCTTCCAGCACATCTGAAAAAGTTGCTCCCATGTTGTACGCTGGTGGATAGCAGAGGGCTTCGTGCAAGGGAGAGGTGGAAACAAAATGCAGGAATTGAGAAACACTGTATGAAGACAGTGACCTGATGTTGGCAAGCCAGCACACTTGATGACTGATAGCTTACTTTATGGAGTAAAATGGACAATTTCCTTAAAAAGAAGAACTGATGAAGAACCACTACTTTTACTGCATCAGTTGTTAACCAATAGTATTAAATTTAAAAGTAGCAAATTATCATGAGTTGCTCATATAATGCTGAATGTTACCTGACCAATATCGGCACAGTAGAAGTAGGAAGGCCTCGCGGAATCAAAGCTGCATCTCCACGGGTTTCTAAGACCCAATGCCCAAACTTCTAGTTCTAAGTCACTGTCATCAGTGTATGGGTTGTCTTTTGGAATGGAGTAGTTACCCCACAAGTTGGTTAGCAATTTCACTCTGTCCTGTAAAGGGAAAAAAGGGAACAAATTATCAAATAGAGTACATGTTGATGCTCCATATATTGCTAATTGTTTGTCTTATGTGAGAGGAGATTTATCACAAATAAATATGTGAAGTCATTTGCAAAAATTTCAGTTCGTATGTTTGAAGTTCATCAGAAACATATTTATCTACCCACCCCGGTATCTACTTACACAAATATAAGTAGTGAATCCAGATAACTGGGTTGTTGCTATATGGGAAAAAATTGCAGCAGTAGCAGTACCTATCTCATGACGGTGGAAAAAAGACACTCAAATCAATTTGATTACCTGTATCACCATCCTGTTTTGCAACTCGTAGCAAAATGGAGTACAGTAATAAAATCCTATTACCAGTTGCAATAGTACAATGGAACTTAGTTGATTCCCATAATTTGTAGTATACACATGATGACATAAAGGGATGGATGGGGTCTAGTTGTACAAGAAGGGCTCTGCAACACTATTTTATCTCCATTACCAAATTCTCTGTAACACTATTCTACGTGCATTACCAAAATCAGAACTCAAAAAAAGCAGGAATTCATTCAGTTCGTAACCTGGTCAAATTCTTGTGAGCAAAAATTTACCTTGGGCACAGAGGAGATCGGCAAAGGTGGCCGTCGGTGACGATGCGGACGGGAGAGATCGACGCTAGCGGAGCAGATCGGTGAGCGGCCGTCGGTGGCAATGCGGACGGGAGAGATCGGCTTGGGCGGAGGCGCGGAGGAGATCGACGACGTTGGTGACGCCGGCCGACGGAGGAGGGATGGCCGTTGTTGGCGTGGCGGCGTCGCGATGGCGGATGGCGCTGGATAGGGCGATGGCGGCGGCGTGAGAGTGCGGCGTCGGCGGCGTGCGAGAGAGAGGAGGATGCGTGTGAGGAGCGTGATTGGGAGGATGCGCGTGAGGAAAGGGGAGAGGAGGACGCGCGTGCGGAGGGGAGGGTCCGCGACGATTTTGAGGCGTTGGATCAAATGATTCTGGACCGTCAGATTTGATGAACGGGGTTTGTAGGAGTGTAGTTGGTGAATTATAGGGTAGATGCAACCACACAATTAGTGATAATAATAATAATCATAAACCATCCCAGATCGCAAAACGGTATGAAGCAAATTCAGCTAACCAAACTCTCAGCATATAACTCGCTCATGTCTTCATATTTGGAAAGTATATCCCACTGCAATTCCCAGTCAATATTCGTCGTCAAAATATGCAGGTTCAGAGAAACTAGCTAGCGGTAGCGGCAGACTAAACAAACAAGCACCCTCAGATACCAGCAAACAAAGGAAGAACTGGACTGATTTATAGAGTACAGAGACACCTCTGATACGTCATTATATTACGTTTCAAGTTTAAACAGTTCACGGCAATATTATAGCCTTCAAGCGCTCGCTACAAGCGAATGACAAACACTAAAGCATCGAAGAAAACCCATCCTACATGTGGATATACTACTCTCTTGGATATCTGGACAGGAGTGCTCAGATCAAACTGTGTAGCGGTTCTTGAGACCTTTGTCCATCTTTTTTGCATCGTCCTACAACCAAAAAGGGCACGAATAAGAAACAGTTATTCATCCAGGCATATAATGTAACAAAGCTAAGGACTACTCACATGAACAATGAACCCAATCGAGTCCTTGTAATCCAGAAATTCTTTCCACTGCTTCCCAATGCTTATCTGATGAAGAAAGAGAAACAATTATGTTCAGCTTATCTGACCTACCTAGGCGAATCAAATATAATAATGATGTGATGAGGAACCAAAAAACTTGCCACAAGATGCATATATTGCAGCAGTCATACAAAACGCTAAAATGGCAAGAAAATACTACAAGAGATAACGCGGACAATATAGCACGAAAGGAACACCAAGATAGAACAGAACTTAACGTTTCAATATAAACCTTGGTTAAAATAGCTGCACAATGTATATAGCATGATCTTGGCCAAAATAATGAAAATCCCCCTATGACAAACTTCACCTGGAAGTTTAAGCAAGTGCACCCAAATGTTGCAATCTTTTCAGGAATATATCTCTTCAGCTATGCATTGTGTATATGCAGATTGAGAGCATTCCACATGTACAGAGCAACATTTGGACAGGCTCAAGACATAAATAGCTCCAGATAACCAGATCATGCCATTATTAATACATAGTGGTATTTGACAGCAATGACATGTAAAAGTTTGAATTTAATGATGTTGAAAACTATGTGGTTATTATCTGCAGGTAACAAATAAATTAGCAGCACATATCTTAGAAATAGTACCTGAGCAGCTTCATTGGCAGCATTTTTAGTCCAGATAGCTATTCTTTCCTGCTTGCCACGCACACTAACAACTGCTCCACAAATTTCATCCCCATAATCGAATTGTTCGCCAATCATTGCCAATAACTAAGCACAGGATAAGGTAAAGAATTAGGGAGATATTTGTATAAAGGATAACTGTGCAAATAAGTGATTCAAATAATGCTTACAGTATGCAACCACATTGTGTCGGACTTTCCTCTGCCACAGCTGAAGGTCCATTTACCTCCATTAGCACAGATAGGATCTTCCCATTTTGGCTCGATTTTATTCTTAAAGCAATGGAAGTCAGCTCCCACAACCAACTTGCTTGGGTGATGGATATTGTTATAAAGGCTGAAATACCACATTCAACCTTATTAGACTAAAGGAATACATGAAAAGATAGAAGGAAAAAAAATACTGAAGCAAATTGCCAAAAAATAATAATATTTAAGCGAGCTGTTAGCAGAAAGAAAGAAGCCCTGAAGCACATGCATTGATATAATTTGCGACAAATGACACATGTTATAAACTGTCGAGAGAACTCAGGACGACACATGTGTCAACATACGTGGACTATCTCAGATCTCTGAACATGTATCAACTCAGGATGCTCAAATTACTCATAAAAAAATAGAGCCACAGAGAATTAACATTCTTTTTATAAATGTCAGATACATAAAATTCAAAATCACCAAACAGAACAAAACACCATCAGCCAATCACCTTCCAAGTTCTAATACTACATGGAAAGTAAAAGATGACAAATATTCGGCCAGAAAAAAAAAAAGAAGGATCATACGCATTTTAGAAGGATCTGATTCATGTCCTTTCATGATGACAATGGAAAAAGATATGTTTATATTAAATATAATATCTGACTTAGACAAAATAACCTAGAACTGAAAATAGAAGAACGCCAATAAATAACTGGCTTATGATGCAGCCAGAAAGATGTCAAAAGGCACAACAGCACAATGATACAGCAAGATCAACAAATATTTCTGACATGAAACATGAAGGGTGCCAAAAGCATAATTATGACAGCAGGACTGTAAACAAATGCTTAAGTGTGAACAAGCAGAACACTTGGACACAATTTGCAACACATATGCATGAAGAGAAACCAAAGAACACCCAACTCTGCACCTCAAATGTAATGCACTACAATGTAGGATAACACATAATATTGATTTCCCCAACCATGCCAAGAAATCACAATCGGCGTACCGACATTTCAACAAACAAACTCTGCACACCGATTTAACCACAGTTAGGCTTATTAAAATAAAGGCATAACAAATCATGTGGCCTGCACTAAGAATTCAATTCTACAGTTGACCATGGAATAAGTATTTGAGTTTGGTACTTCTCACTTGAGACGTTTTCTTCCAGGGTATCAATCACTCAAGACAAATTTTCCTCAAGACATGTTGTTCATCTAAGAACATTATGATGATAGCATATACAGATTATCACCCTATACTAAGTAAAGTTTCCATCAAAATAGATAAACAAAGAAAAGCATCCATCCACAGCATGAAACATAAACTGATCGATGAAGATGTGAAATATTATTCTGCTTAAAGAAAAACACTATAATTCACGAAAAGAGTGTACTCCTCCTCAAAACAATTCTGCCTAATCTGCAACCAAGTCAAAAAAAAAAAAAACTAGATCCACATTAGATCTCAGTCCTACACATGAAGCCTATGACATGGACAAAGTAAAGTGGGCATGAGTGGCAAGCCTAACGCATGTAATCGAATCGGGTTAAACAGCTAGATGGGGAATCTACAATACTGATTCATGAAGGCAAGGGATGGAGAGGTTGTGGAGGGGAAAAGAAGAGGAGGGGGGGTGGGAAACCTCCAGAAGTCCTCGACGGTGGAGAAGGTGTGGATGGGGCGGATGGAGCTTCCCCAGGTTGCCTGCTTGGACTTTCCCTGCGGGTTGTCGAACCAGAAGGTCCAGGCGTGCTCGAGCGGGTGCGGCGCGGCGGGGTTGGCCTGCGGCGGCGCGTGGCCGGAGTCGTCGTCGGCGATCTCCCCCTCCTCCCTCTCGTCAGCGTCGTCGGCCCTGCCGCGGCCGGACGACGGCGGCCTTCCGGCGGACGGCGGCCTCGTCTCGTGCTCCTCCGCCATGGATGCGGGCGGCGGTGAGGGTTTCTGTGTTGCGCCTTAATTAGCTAGGTCGAGGTCGGTGCTCTTCCCCTCTCGCTTCTCCGTCTCTATATCTCCCTCTCCACTCGTGTAGTATAGAAGAAGAACTTGTATTGTACCGGATGCGTTGGGCTTATCAGGCCCATGGGCCCAAATAAGGACTATTTAGGAATTTTTTTTATTTATAATTTTTTTTATTAAAAGTTTTACAAAAATAATTTTCCATTTTGAAAATTAACGGAAATAGTCGCCTACCGCCCTCTGGGAGGGCGATTTTTAAAAATCGCCCTCCCAGAGGGCGGCGAAAATGACGTGGCAGACGGCCGTTCGCTCTCGGGCGACGGCCGTCAACGAAATTTGCAGGCGGCCCCCTTGCCGCCCTCCGCGAGGGCGATTTTATACTGTGCGGGGGGCCGCCTGCAAATGGGCGGCGAGGGGGGGCATGGAATTTTGCAGGCGGCCCCCTTGCTGCCCTCCGCTAGGGCGATTTTGCACTGTGCGGGGGGCCGCCTGCAAATGGGCGGCGAGGGGGCATGGAATTTTGCAGGCGGCCCCCTTGCCGCCCTGGGGGAGGGCGATTTTGTACTGTGCTCTATATTTTTTTTGTATATAAATATCAATAGTTATCAAATCTTTTTATATTGAAAACTATACAAGATTAAAATCTCCAAGACTGGTAAAATACAATTTTATTATTTTTTAGGGCATATTTGGAATGTTACCGTACAAATATTTTGTTAATGCCAAAATATAAGCAAGTTTTGGCACTACCAAATATTTGGTAAGGTAAAATTGCATTTGATCATATTTGGTTTGCTGCCAAAATGTAAAATTGTAGTGAAGAATGTTGTACATAATCTCAATTCTAGATTACGTATTACCAATTAATAGGCTTCCATTTTCGTGTGTGGTGTGGTAGTTGGAAAGAAGATATGAAGAGGTTGCCTTCAGATTGTCAATTATATAGCGTCGTTTTCAGTGCAATATATGTGAACTCAATGAGATACATTATTCATTAGATGTGACAAGACGATCACGCGTGGGCGTGATTCACTTTATGTCAACAGGCAGCGCCGAAAGTTGATAGTGATAACTCGAGCTGCCGCTTTTCATGTGTGCTGTTGTGGACTGTGCGCGCTACTGGATATGGCACTACCGTGAAGCGCCGAAAGTGTGTTGTTGTGAGCATAAGTTGTTCAAGCACCATATGAATGAAAAGAACTACGTAGACGAGACAAACACAAGTAGTACTGCAGTAGTAATAGCAAAAGTAGTACTGCTTTACAAGTTTGTAAGCCAAAAGAAACGGTCACATAAGGACTGAAGAGGTAGAACACTACTGACGAGGCCTCTTACCCCTGTCCCTCCTACCCTGCGCCCTAATGTGCCCCTGGGAGTACGTGAGTCGGTCCGGGGGTACGGCACGGCCAACCCGTCCTGCCTGTACAGGTGTGACCTCTGGCTGCTCCTGAGTGTGCGCCTCTGGAGCTCCTCCAAGCTGAGAGGAGACTAGTACGTCCTGGTGGTCTGCACCGTGCAAGTCGTCGTCGTAGAACTGGCTAGTAGGACCAGTCCTACCGGCGTGAGACGAAGAGGCCCCAGTACCGAAGATCCCGGCTGCAAATCCTGCTGGACAAGGACCATCAGTTTCGTACAGGTATTTAACAGTATTAATAAAAAGTAAAGTACCGTGTGGGTGAGGGATCGACGCTCCGTGGGACGAAGAGCTGGCGAACGCGCCCGAAGAGGTGGCGAACGCCCCTGCGGAGCTCGCGGAAGCGCCGGTCGTGCCTACGAACGCGCTCGAATGCAGACGAGGTCCTGCGATGAGGAAACGTGCAGTTAAAACATGGTGACACATTCGTGCAAAAGCTGAAACAAAAATGAACTAATATCTGGGCTGAACTGTACCGTGCGAAACCGGTGCTGTAGGTCGCACTGCTCCGAAGCTAGGGGCGCTCGAAGACAAACGAGGTCCTGCTCCGACGGTAGGCGCGCGAGGCCGTGGGTGTACCGGACCAGCTGGAGGTACGACGTCCACGGCGCTGCGACAGGAGAAGACGCGCATGACCGCACGCATCTTCTCCTGCATCCGGTCGAAGGTCGCCCTCTGCTCAACGTCAGTCAAGTGCAAACCTCTGTTCAACCTCACCTGGACTGCGGTGATATCGGCACTGATATCCCGTGCCGCATCAGCCTATGCAAGATGGAAATAAAAAATTCAGTAGTTGTCCTATATTATGCAAGATAAATGACATAATTGTTGGAAGTAATACAAATTGGACGTACCGCCACGAAGTAGTCTCGGTCACGGTGCGTGGGATACGCGTCCGTGACAGCGGCAACGTGCGGCTCTGGGGCGTCTGGAGTGAAGGTCACACGCGAACGAGTGCGAGGAAGGTACCAGCGAAGGTAGTCACGGTAGTTCTCCTCCGTGTGTGGGAAGAGCTCGTTGATCACCTCCTCTGTAGCTAACACCCAGTCGTCAACGTACTGCTGTACACGTGGAGCCCAAAGTGCGCCTGCTAGCTGTCCCCGTCGAGTCAACCTGTGAAGAGAGGTAAATTGTATGGCTCGATGATGTAATTACCATAAAAATTTAGAAATGAACAATCCGAACTCACGAGTGGTCGGCAGGGGGGACGGTCGGCTGCACGTTGCCCGGAAACACCTGCCTAAGTCCGAACTGTCTCATCACACGCTGCGGGCAGTGAGGCTCAACGAAAATGTCGAACACCATCGGCAGGATGGTGAGCCAGTAAGCCTGGTCGCGTGTGCACAAGGACGAAAGTCCTAGCGGTGCTCTCGCAGCGACGGCCTCTTCTGTGTACGGCTCCCAGATGACGTCGCTCGGCTGGAGACGGTCAAACTCGAACACGAAGTCCGGGTAACCACGTCTCACCTGGACGTGAGCGTAACGACGCTGCAATAAACATGATAGGAATTAGACATGTTATGTGAAGGAAAAAAAAGAAGAGGACTGATAAACTTATAACGCAGCGAAGTTGCACTAACCCCACGTCGACACCAGTAAGTCCCCATCGTGGGACCGTCCTCTGGCCACTGCGCGCTGCGACCAACCCCGTAGGGTGCGCTGTCCACCACTGGTCGCCCTATGGCAAACCTCTCGGCTGCCCAAAGCTGAAGCAACATAGGGCAGCCAGCGATGATCGCTCCCGCGTCAGTCTTCGTGCACGCCTCACAGAGGGCACGGTACGTGGCTGCTAGCACGGCAGAACCCCAGCTCCACTGCGGCACGTCCTGTGGCTGAGCATCCGCGATGGACCGTGCGTAGTGGACCAGCCGGAAGTCCACAGCGTGCCCGTGGGTGCTAGTGAACATCACCTACCCGAACAACCACAACAGGTACGCCTCAAGGGAGCGTCGGACCGAGTAATCATCAGCGTCAGGGTGCAGAAGGTCCGCCTACAGTTAAGAATGAAATGTTAGTACAAAACACTCATCCGGTCGCAAATAAGCATGTATGATAATAACAACTTATTTACTTACAGTGAACTGGAGCAACCAAGCCTTGCTAAGCCCGACTGTAGAGTACGGAGGAAGGGTGGTGGTCGGTCCTAGGTGTGGAAGGCGCATCACCTGCTCGAAGCGCGCAGTGATATCCTCCTTCCACCCAAAAACACCGTCGACGGGACCAACTGGTGCTCCCGCCAGCGGTAGCCCGAGCAGGTACGACACGTCCTGCAGTGTCGGAGCCATCTCCCCACAGGGAAGGTGGAACGTGTGCGTCTCAGGTCTCCAGCGGTCTACAAGAGCGGCAAGGAGTGACCGGTCTGCATCCCACCGCTTCGCTGGGTCACGGTCGTCCGCCGCCGCCTCAACAAGCCTACAAAGTGGTAGAAGGCCTGCCGCACGCAACCTGTATAGAGCAAACTTCAAACATAAGTGCAAAACAAAGCAAAGTTGAGTTCAAATGTGAACATACGCGTACCAAGGAACGTGACGGGGGTCGACACGCAACCACTCGCGCGACGTGCGTGGACGGAAGGTGCCGAGCTGTGCACCCTCGACTGCTGACAGGAACGAGCGGTGGTTCCTGTCAATCCCACGGTTCAACAGCGCCGGTGTGTCGTACGCCATACCTGCATCAAATAGGTTGATCAGAAACATATAAATAATTAGTTCAACATAAGTAATAAATGTTCATAAGCGAATTACTAACACATATTAAACAAGAGTACAAACAAACAAAAGTGTTTAGTCCGAACACTCATCACGATAACATTATGATACAACACCGAATAGTTCGCAATACTACTAGTACAACAATAGTCGGAGGTACTCATTACAACAAGATTGAATTGAAATTACACGATAGAAGTATTTAGTCCGAACACTCATTACATCATTTTATTTCCTAAATCGAAAGCATTGTTACACCATGGAATCGCCTGCTGCGCGACGACGCCTTGGCCTTGCGCGCCTGCTTGTTGTTCCTTCACCAGGTGGTCGCCTACCATCACTTGCCTGTCCAGATGGACTAGCATCTGCGCCGCTTGGAACTTCTGCATTCTTCGGGCATTTCTTGTAAGTATGGCCGCGCAGATCACACTTGCTGCAGCGTAAAGTCCTCCCACCTGCTTCTGACTCATCCATATCATTTCTGATGCGTCTAGTTTGGCGTCGACCCTTTTTCACCCTTAACTTAGATGGATCTGGAATATAAAAAACTTGGGCACTCAGCGTTGTGTAAGATCCTGAGATCCCGAACCCATATATCTCCTCACTCCATGTATGAAAGATTGCTTCTTTCCTGAAATAATTTGAGACGTACACATTGGGAGATATGCCACAATCACCGGCAGCAGCAAGAACGTGTGAGCAAGGAAGGTGATGAAGCTTCGGCTTCATACAACTACAGGTACATCCACCATCCGCCTTCAAGATACATTCCTGCACGGCTTGCTTGCGATAGATACCACGCCTGCTCCTATCAACACACATTATTTCATACCGATGCACTTGTGTGCCTTGAGCAACAACTCTATGTCTCCGTGCCTTTTTGATTTTATCTTCCATGTACTTTGTCACTACGTTGCCAAACACTATGTTGTTA